TGGGAGAATGAAGAACCACCTGCTATAGGAGACTGTCAGGTTCAAGACCATCTAAGGAACGTGAAAATGCACAAGCTTATGAGACCTGATGAGATGCATCCACATGTCCTGAGGGAAATGATGGATGAAGTGGTGAAGCCACTATCCATCATATTAGGGAATTTGTGGCAGTCTGAAGTTCCTGATGACTGGAAAAGGGGAAACAATGCCCACTTTTAAAAGGGGGGAAAAGGAAGAGCCAGGGAACCACAGGCCAGTCAGTCTCACCTCTGTGACCAGTAAGATCATAGAACAGATCCTCCTGAAACTAGGCTAGGGCACATGGAAAATAAGGCGGTGATTGGTGACAGCCAGCATGGCTTCACTAAGAGCAAATCATGCCTGACAAATTTGGTGGCCTTCTATAACAGGGTTACAGTGTTGGTGGATAAGGGAAGAGCAACTAATGTCATCTACCTGGGTTTGTGCAAAGCATCTGGCATTGTCCCACATAACATCCTTGTCTCTCCAACTTAGAGATAGGGGTTTGATGGATGGACCACTCAGTAGCTGAGGATTAGGCTGGATGGCAGCACTCAGAGTTGCAGTCCTTGATTGATTGATTTCCAAGTGGAGAGCAGTGACGAGTGCCATTCCTCAGGGGTCGGTGTAAGAACCGGTGGTGTTTAACATCTTTGTTGACAACATGGACAGTGGGACTGAGTGCACCCTCAGCAATTTGCCGACAACACTAGGCTGTGTGGTGCAGTTGACATGCTGGAGGGAAGGGATTTGACATCCAGAGGGACCTGGACAGGCTGAAGAGGTGGGTCTGCACAAACCTCAGACCTCATGGATTTCAACAAGGCCAAGTGCAAGGTCTGCACATGGGTCTGGACAATTTCATGCACAAATAGAGGCTGGGTGATGAGTGGATTGAGAGCAGCCCTGAGGAGAAGGACTTGAGGGTATTGGTGGATGGAAAAGTGACTATGAGCCATCAATGTGCGCTCACAGCCCAGAAGGCCAACCGTGTCCTGGACTGCATCAAGAGGTGTGGCCAGCAAGTCGAGGGAGGGGATTCTGTCCCTCTCTCATGACACCCCACCTGCAGTGCTGTGTCCAGCTCTGGGGCCTCAACACAAAGCAGGACATGGACCCCTGCTTGAGCAGGTCCAGAGGAGGCCATGAAGATGATGATGGGGCTGGAACACCTCCCCTTTGAAGACAGGCTGAGAAGAGAAGGCTCCAGGGAGACCTTATAGCGGCCATCCGGTACTGAAAGGGGCTACAGGAAAGGTGGGGAGAGACTCTTGTTTAGGGAGTGTAGGGATAGGGTGAGGGATAATGGTTTTAAAATGAAAGCAGGTAGATTTAGATTAGATGTAAGGAAGAAATTCTTTCCTGTGAGGGCGATGAGAGAGTGGCAGAGGTTTCCCAGAGCAGCTGTGGCTGCCCCCTCCCTGGCAGTGTTCCAGGCCAGGCTGGACGGGGCTTTGAGCAACCTGGGCTAGTGGAAGGTGTCCCTGCCCATGGCAGGGGGGGTGGAACTAGATGGTCTCTCAGGTCGCTTCCAACCCAAATCATTCTATGAAGAGGCCGAACTTCTGTCTGTGGCACCAGTCCCCTTAACCAGTGTTTGTTTGTTTGTTGTTTTTCAGATTCTACTGGCCTTTTCAAACCCCTTCTCTTTGATTTGGTTTGATGAAAAAGCTACCTGTGCTTCAGACTCCCATACCACTGCTCTCAGGGCTCTGTAATCATTTTTGATACACTAAAGCGTGTTCCTGGTTGTACTACCAGTGCCCACATGAAACAACAGCAGTGAATAATAGTCAGTGGAGTGTGTGAGGTTTGGCAGTCTCTCGGTAACACCCCCAATTCGAGCCCCCAGTAAGCAGCACGTCTCTCCGGAGAGTGTGTCAGGCTGGCATGTGGGTGCCTCTCTACCTCTCAGAAGAGAGTCACATACTATTACCATCCATTGCCTTATCTTAGTTGCATTGGTTTTTATGCGGGGAGCAGACCAGACTGCCTTACTCAACTCCAGCATCTTTCCTGATGTTACGGGTTTTTCCTTTTTAGTCTGTGGAGCAGTGAAGCTGTTCTGCAAGGGCACCTCAGGCCTCGAAGAAGCCTCTTCCTCCTAGAGAGCCTTTCTGTTGCCAGCTTCCATTCTTCTGCATTATTGGCCCCCTCCCTTCTGTGTCTGCCAGTGGGGGAGTTTTTGGATATTTGGCCATGGGCTGTGCGTCTGCTGTAGGCTGTGCTTAGAACCAGCTATCTAACTACTCAGCTATCTAACTTCTCTCATCCTCAGCACCTGCTGCAGGAGGTCCTTCACCTGGGCACACCTTTTGCAGGCAGGTCTGCTGCCTGTCCCCACCCCAGGAGAAACGTCTGGGCACATCCTGCAGCCCAAGGCCTGCACTGCAGCCTCTCCCTTCAGCAGCATTGTCTGGGGGTATGCATCAGCCATCACTGGGGAGATGGTGCAGATGCCCCAGCTGCAGCCTTTGCTCTCAGATATTTGTTAAGGACAAAATACGTTTGTTAGGAATGGTTTCTCAGTTTTTCTTCCACCTTCATCAGTCTAGATTTGGAAGATGACAACTTTGGAAAGTTGTTTTAATCTTTAATTATTCAGTTTTCTGCATCATTTGAAATTACCTTAGTTTGAGGTTAGTTATAATTTAAAGTATGAAAATATGTACAGAATTTCTTTTAAAAAAACAAAGTTTGAGAAACAAGCTTTAGGAAACTGGTTGTAGTATTTCAAAATGTCACTATTCTCAGTTAATGTTCTCATGGAGGCAAGGTAGCAGTAGGGAATATCTATCTGCATCTCAGCTGCTCTGATATAAATACACTTGTTTTTTTTAGCTTAAGCTACTGCTCAGGATGGGAGCTAATATGATATGAGCCTGTGAGCTGAGGTGATAGTGCACATTCCTTCTGCAAGGTTGTGATAATCTCTGGAGGAGAGACTGATATGTCATTAACCACCTCTCCCTGTCCCATGACATCTGCATGGGTATTTTCACCTATGCTATATCTCTCTCCCAGTGCCCCTTCCCAGAGTAAGACCAGTTGATGACTTGGGCTCCATCTCAGGAGGTGGTGACTTAGGGCAGGAGAAATGACTGTGGGTGCCAAGATCCACTTGCATTGAGTCACTGGTACATTCACCTGGTTCCTCAAAGGGCTCAGCCTCTTTAGGTTCAAGTGGTTCCTGCTGTGCTCTTATAACATACAACTCAGATCATGCATTGTTTTCCCCCAAGTTAGAATCTTCTTGAGATACACACTGGATTTCCCCATCCTTCCCCATTACCCACCAACCCACCAAGTGCACTTAAGCAAACATAATCCCACAAATGACTTTGCATTTTCCCAAGGCAGGAGCAGCCTAAACAGCCTTTTCCAGCCACTAACAGGTGCTGGACTTATATGCAGTAAAATAAGTAAGTTCAGTGATCAGCACAGGAGCCTGCTAATTAACTATAACGTGCTCAGATCAAAGCTGTCATTATCTTTAGCCCCACATTGGCACCAAGAAGGACTGTGGTGTGTTCACCCTGCCTAACAGCTAAACATACACCCAGTGACTTGCTCACTTCCCTTTCCCATGGGATGGGGAGAAGATAGAAGGAAGATGAGAAGACTTGTGGGTAGAGATAATGGCAGTTTAATTGGGAAAGCAAAAGCTGCATGCTCAAGGAGAACAAAACCAGGAATTAATTACTGCTTCCCATCAGTGGGCAGATGTTCGGCCGCTCACTGGAAAGCAGGGCCTCAGCATGCTTAACAGCTGCTTGGGAAGACAAGTGCAATAATCATGAACATTCCTCCTAACTCCTCTTCTCCCACAGATACTTTTTGTCGAGCACATTATATGTTATGGAATATCTCTCCTATCAGTTGGGGCCAGCTGTCCTGGCTGTGTCCCCTCTCAACCTCTTGCCCACCCCACCCTACTGTCTGGGCTGAGAGCGAGGCAGAGCAGAGTGGGAAATTGAGAAAGCCTCCAAGCCATGCGAGCACTGTTCAGTAATAGCCAAAATATTTGTGCATTATCTGTAATATTTTAGCCAAAAATACAATGTACAGCAACATGCAGGCTATGGTGAAGAAAGACTCGGTACATCATCGTACCAGGGAGGTTGTGGGTTTGAACTCATGAAGTAAAATTGTCTAAAACTTGCGGTGAAAGGCCTTTATCTGCACAGCTACTGTTTGCAGTAGAATTATTGTAGCTGAATAACTAAGTGAGGATTAAAGATTTTGCATCTTTGTGCACTTGACTGCATGGTTTGCGTAAGCTTTACTGTTTCGTAGGTAAGTGTTTGTACAAATAAACATGCACACGATCACACAGTTACTCTCCATTGTTTGTTCCACTGAGCAACATCAGAAAGAGGAATATTCTCTGTTTCTTTCTCCTGCTTAAAGAATAGAAGGTGAGATTGTAAAATGATGGAAGTACTTGATACTTCATTTAATTTAGTGACAATTACTAGATATTAAGTTGCCAGTTCCTCAAAGTACTCACTCAGGAACCCAGTTTCCTTGTTGTGGGATCTTTTTGTGTAAAAGAAATTGACAGTTAAATGAATCTAATTAACAGGTAGGAATTCTTTCTTTGCTTTTAATGTCTTACTCTTTTATGTTCTTACAAGCCTTACTCATGCTTGAAATCGGTCCTTATTTTCTGCCAATCAGTAGATGTGTTAGCAAGGCAAGCACTGGAATTTCATAGCTTGATGTATTTTACTGCTCTAAGTTGCAGGTTTCCTTACGTGCAGTGGTCTTGCATTAGTATTTTGTATGAGTACTGTGTTGTTGCTGCCCAGATATGTCAAATAGGGGCAGATGAAGTCTGAGAGGATGGAAGAGTAAAAGACATAATGAGACTCTCATGGGGCTTATACTGGATATGACACACTCTGAATAGTCAAGATGCTGCTAGGGAAATGTCTTGCCCTGGTTATACAGAGGAGCTAACTATGCATGTCGTCTTTTTTCTTTTTTTCCTTGCTAACAGTGACAAGACAACATCTGTCCCTCTGCAGTCTCTCTCCTAGTCTTCCTGGGTTGTTCTGGACCGTCCACATTGTTTCTGTAGCTTTCATGATTCTGAATGGCTAGTGAAGAGGGATGTTCAGTCTAATGGCCAATTGCTGCAGCTGGTTAAAACGGTGGCAGGAACCTGTCAGGTAAACATGTGAAAGTATTCTACATTTATGTGCTGACCTTCCCAAACTATAGTTCATGTCCTCTCACCTATGTTTTGCTTTATTTGCTGTGTAATGTTGTTTTGTATTTTTTAATTCCAAGACAAAAATCTGTCATTTTTTTCTCCAAGAGAGAATCAATACATTTTCTGAACTTAAAAATGAAATGCTAATCATCTCTAATTCAGGTACTTTGTTTCTGACTTCAGGAAAATATAAAGTTTAAAATATTGTCCTTTGTATACTGTTTCCTCAAGTTGAGCATTATCAGATGATACTAGAAATTTTATGTAAAGTTTATTTGGTTTTTGTTTTACTCATTTAATGTCTACATTTTGAGATTCTGAAGTGCAGTGTGATAAACCACTTTTGTTTATAAGAGTAGACTGTAGCCCCAGTGTAAAACTAGTTCTCTTACTGCTATCTAAGTATCCTAATACTGCATTTTGCGGGTAGTCCAGTGATCTATTCTTGCTTATGGCATTCTACTGTTCTTGTTTGCAGGATGTCAAAGGAACAGAAACATACTTTTCCCTCCATTTAGCAGAGATGCACAGATAGCATGTAATTTGTTTTAAACTATTTAAAAACTATGGGGAAGGGAAATAAAGGGTACACCACACTTACTTATACTTCACACTCATGTAGGAGGATTTGTTCTTTTCTTCAATGCTTCATAGTTTAAGTTTTACGGAAGGTGCTGCTGTTCAAAGAACTATTTTGGCTTGAATAGCCTTCTGACACCACCAATGTATGATAGACAATTGTGAGTTTATAAACGTTCATGACTGTTCTGGTTTCAGCTTGCTGTTAAAGTATAATTTACTATGATCCTACTGTTCATTTTTAGGCTCTTTTCTCAGGTTTTTAGCTGTTCTGAAAGAACTTGCATAAGTTATACTTCATGTATGATGCTGTTATAGTTTTAAGACTGGAAATAACTTGTTTTAGTATTCCTTCACTTAAAGGGGCATAAAATTGAGCAAATTCCTTTGACTCCTTTGCAATTTTGTGAATAGAAGGAACAATTGAGGCATATACATAGCTTTTTCCTATTGCTTTACTTAAAAACCTATCCTGATATAAATTCTAACCTGTATACCAGTTTGCTAATATATTGTACATACTCAGCACTACTGGTTTGCAAGTTTGTGGTCTAGATTGCTCCTGCTTGAAACAAAGGCACAGTGAGTCCCAGTGCTACTTGTTTACAGCATCTGATGTTGTCTACTCAAGTACTGTATATCGTATAGTGTGTTCAGATGCACTAGTTCAGACAGAATTAAATTTCTAATATAGGCAAAACTTTGAGGCAGAGAGATGGTAAAAATACAGGGGAATGGAAATGAAATTACAGAAATTGTTAAAGAGACCATGATCACACAGAAAAAAAGGATAAAATTTACAGTACCATGTAAAAACGAATTTCAGCAGGCAAATACAAGTTGAAAACAAAATCATTGTCTCATGTGAAATTTACAGCAGAATATTAGACTACTCATTTCATACCTTGTTCTGCTCTTCTGTCTGATCAGATGGTTTGACCACACAATTGTAAAATGCCTGCTACTTGGTATTTTGAAACCTATTCTTTCAACTACTTCGTGGTACATTTGCTATGCATGTATTAAAAAAAAACCCCAACTTTATTAAAGTGATGTCTAGCCAGAGGAAAAAAGATTTTTTTTTTTTTTTTTTTTTTTCCCTTATGGAGGAAGGTGACACTAATAATGGTGGGCCTTGATAATGCTGGTAAAACTGCTACAGTCCGAGGAATTCAAGGAGGTAAGCAATTCATTTTTTTATCATCTAAATGGAGCATTTAAAGAGAGAGTATAATTACCAATTTTCCATCATTTTAATCTGAAAATATTGCTTCATCTCTTATGTCTCTCTCCTGTCTTCTTGAAAGAAAATTTTGGTGACTATACCAAAAGTGTTGTATGGTTGCCGAAGTGAGCATGTCACAGGCCCCATTGTGTGAAGACCTGCAGATGAGAGAAAAATTAAGGAGTCTTAGCTTTGAAACATAAAGATCCTAAGTTTTGATATCTGGAAGGTCATGCTAGGGTGACTTAAAAAGTAGGTGCTCCCAGTCATGTGTTTCAGTCTCAGGAGAAGTAGCAGAGCAAGCTCTGCATTTGCTCCATGGCCCCTGCACTTAACATTATGTTGGACTAACACTGACCAAGTCAGTGGTAGTTAAAGTTGCTACTACTTTGCTACATCTTTTTCAAAGGCAACAGTATGAGGTAGAGACAAGGTAGATAGTATGGAGAGAGCTGCTATTTAAGATGTTGCACCGTGCAACATTAGAGCCTTTAGTCCATTAAGACAGAGAAAAATTAGTCCATAGAGGTTTTTAATTATCTTGTAAACATGAAGACCAAATGTTCAGAGTACCTTGGTGCTTATGTGCCTTGAGTTGACCGCTGTATTGTTAACTGTGTAAAATGGTAAATTGCAACAAAATCTGTTCTGGGTTCTTGTTTAAATTTCATGAGTGTGATAGTGTGTTTTTGGACTAAAGTAAGGTTTTTTTCAGTAGTTTAATAAATAGCTGAAGGAACATTGTAGCTACAAGCAAGCAGTCTGTCTCCATTAGTTGCTTTAGGCAAAAGAAAATGTAGGACAGAAACTCTGAAAACTGTAGACCACACTCTAATTAATAATTACTTTGAATTAATGTAATGATACAAAATATTCTAGTTAATGATGTGTTTCATGTCTTAGTATACATCAGAGAAATCAATGGACCTGATTTTCTTTTTTCTTATGTACATGCGCTGAAATTGCTTTCAGGTGACCAGAAACACGCATACATCAGTAAACTTTATATAAAAGTCAGTGTTGTAAGTATATTTAATGAGGAAAAAGTTCAAAAGAAGGAAATTGCCTGTGTGTATATATATAACATAAAGGATGGTTTTAGTGATACATACTTTATATCATTATTTATCACCAGAAAAACACAGGCAATTTTCTAGGCAAATACTTCAGTAAGAGACCACTTGATTTTGGAGGGTACTTTCCACCATCCAGTGACACATGCAAGCAGGATATAATTTGAGATAAAACTTGTGCTTATGAAAACAAGAGTTCTCTAGTTTGGTTTTTTTTTCCCCTTGTGGGACTGTTTTTCTAAATAACTTTCACCTTGTGTAATAACAAGAGTGTACTTAGTAGTGTTTCGGCAGACTTGGAGACTCCATCTCGACTTTCTGTTTATGCATGGTATGTAAATTCATAGATTTGCTAAAGTGTGAATAAAATTATGAATATTCCTTATATTCCTGAATCTTTGCCCTGAAAACATGAGTATTTCATTATCTATCTTTCCATTCTGTTTCAAAATCAATTTTAATGCCTCTATTAGTTGAATGTTGACAGTTATTTCTAAAAGTCCTTTTATTCTGGGGAAAAAATGGGATAAAGACCATGCCTTCATTTCTTCCTTTCAACAAGCTGAATTTTACATCTATTTCTCCTGCCTTGTGTTACCAAGTTGCAGAGATCCAATTAACTCACCCCTGCAGAGACAGCTTAGTGGTGTGAGGCAAGTACATTCTTTTTTTGCTCTCCAAAAAGGGAGACAGCAAGTAAAAGTATTAAATATAAAGCTATATTGCATGGCAAACTAAAAAACAGAAAATAAAAAACAAAGACCAAAACCTATTCTTGAATAAAGGGAATCAAATAGTTTACATCTCAAAAAAACATGGTTTCAGTTGCTTAATCTCAGCCCTTGGTTTGAACTTGTGAAGCTGTTTTGACAACCATAAGGGATAAAAAATAAATTTGGCAGAGCACAAGGCTTCCCAGGTCATAATGTATTAACTGTTTTGTTTGTTTTCCTTCTCAGACTTGGATTAATACCATGCAAATGCTGTATAACTGTTCAGAAGATTGGGAGCGCTGGTGATGAGGGGGAAAGTAAAAACTGCAGTACTCTAAACACCACTGCAATTCAACTGTGGTGTTAAATATTAAAAATATTGCATTTTTGGCTCTTCTCACCCCTGTCCCCAGTCCCAGTGCTTCTATCTAAATTCATGTAAAGTAACTGGTTGAGAGACTAGTGTTTTAATTTGAAATTACCTGAGGAGAGGGAAAATTTTAATGTAAAAAATATGTGGTTAGCAATATGGTGTCACTTAACAAGGAGGGTTTGCTTCATGTTTTTAAAATAGGAGTTTTGCTTCACAAGTCAAAATGTAAAATCCTCTAAATAACTAAGGACACTTTTTACTGAAGGCTTTCTTCTTTGAACTCTGACAGAGTCTCCTGAAGACATGGCTCCAACAGTTGGGTTTTCCAAGGTTGACCTAAAACAGGGACGCTTTGAAGTCACCATCTTTGATTTAGGAGGTGGAAAACGAATTCGAAATATCTGGAGAAATTACTATGCTGAGTCCTACGGTGTAATATTTGTCGTGGATTCCAGTGACATTGCAAGAATGGAAGAAACAAAGCAAGTCATGATAGAAGTTTTAAACAGCCCTAAAATATCAGGAAAACCTGTGTTAGTGTAAGTAATGTTAACAAATGTTCTCCTAATAATCTGAAATTTTATAAATTTTAACCTTCAATACACCTTCTAAAAAAGTATTATCCTTATGTAGTACAAACTTAAGTATAAAGTACACTAATACTACTGGAACTTTAACACTATGCAATATTACATTTAATTTTACAGTATTTCTGAAGTATTTATGCCAATCAATGTCATACTAGTGAACAAAGCCTTTTCTGTCTTTCTGTGTGTCTTTACCTCTTGAGTTGTAGACGGTGATACACTGAATCCATTCACTGCATCTGATATTAGATCTTATTTAGTCCTTTCCAGGGATATTTATTTCTCTTCTCTTTCATTAGCAGTGGAAAAATACTAAGTTGTTGGGTTTTTTTTTAACCCTTTAAAATTCTAATATTAGTTGAAATGCTATGGTTGAAGACTACAAGTTTGGCATGGCAACATGGTGTAAAAATATTGTCACTTTTTAGGCCTACATCAATTACTTAAACTATAAATGGTCGATTATATTCTGTAATACCAGTAATCTCTCAGTAATAAGTATCTTGTTCACTTAACACATGGTGGTGCTGCTGATACATGACTAGCAAAATTTAGTTAAAGAAGGCCTACTTTAATAGTATTTGACATGTGCTTTTGTTTCAGTGCATGTGTTTTAATTAAAAAAATCTCCCAACTTAAAGTTGCAAAAGTTTTAGAGACATTCTGTCACAGAACAGATAGATTAATGAACTTCTCTGCTTAAAAAATAGGTTTTGTAAAGTATTGGAAATAACGTATTTTATTAGATTAGCCACACAAAAGGTCTTTGAGGATAAATACCCTTTTGAAGCTACACTATAAAGTATGGAAGTTTAAGACAGTTTATCGGGACAATATGTCTGGTGGACATAAGACCTCTATAATGCAGTATATACACAACACGTCTGTTATATCGTAAAGAATCTGTAAAGCTAAGAGGAGAGGCTTCTTAAGAAGTAGTGATGCTCTGACAGTTTGAGGGTGAAACTGGCTAGTTTTTTTCATCGAGTGTAGTTCAGCAAGCTAATGGTCTAGAAGTTGAAAAATAGATTAGATTTTAAATTACATTTGCTATGTGAATGTCATTACTACAGGGAAGGCAATAAAACCAACTTAATGCAGCTAGTTAAACTCAAACCTGTTCTGCACATGCAACTGTGACAGTTGACAGCTGTGCCGTGTTTCTATAAATAAATGCAACTTTAGGGTTATTTTCATAGAAATCTCTGTGCCCTAATCCCATAATAGAGTTTATTTGGGTGGCTGTCTGTACCTGCAGAGAGTTTAATGGTAACTAAACTGTTTGATGGTATTGCCTTCTAATTGATTGAGCCTCAAGCCTTTGAACAGAATTTGTTCTTGTAATGTTCCAGTTATGTGGAGGGATCCAGTAGTTCTTTGTTTTATGCTCCCTATATGAGCCTGCCGTCTCTAGTTTTGAATTCTTTCTTGAATTGTCTTTGCTTTCTGTTTGGTGTCTGTGTTCATAGCGTAGCTGTGCTACTCTTGGCATGTTTACATCATGTAAACCCTAGAAGTTGTTCCAGTACTTGAAACAGTTCTTACATTGTGAAGTCTGCAAGTTGTGAAGCAGGAAGTCTTGGTCAGTAAACCCTGGTGTTTGTGGTATGGAAATAGAGTCCTTAGCAAATGTGATTTAAACTGGTCCCATGCGCCTTCCTTCCCTGAAGATGCCTTTGGTTGGAGATGCAAATCCCCATCACTTACACTTGCCAAATAAGAGTTCTGTGGCATCAACATTTTTCTTTTGAGTCCCTAAAACTGAAAAATGAAAATGTGTCAAATGCAGAGTAGAGCAAACAGCAGATTTCCAAATTTTTGGTGAAAGTTGTCCTTTTTTGATATTTCCTTTTCTAAGGATGTTCAGCTTTTGTTTGTTTTTTTGTTTGCTTGGGTATTTTTATAAGATATTTGGTATCCACGTAGCAATAAGTTCCCTAATACCTTGCTAAATTTCTAATTAGTGCATTTTAGTCTGTGCATGTATGTGTGAAGGCCAGTATTTACTGAAAACAATGAAGTGACCTCTGAGTATTAAATCCAGGAAAGGTGAAGTTTACTTTAAGTAACTCTCCTTTCTCCCATGCTTTTGCAGTGCAGAGCACAATCTATTTCTCTTTTAATAGAATACTGTTCTAATTTCATGCCAGAGGAGAGAGACTCCTTCTCTGTGATTTCCACACTCCACAAGTGTATGTCTTTCTTCCAGCACTTGAAATAAACAGCGAGAAGCAGAAAAACAGGTGTAATTTGTTTATTCTCTGATGTCTGTTAGTGCATAGATTTCTCTACTATGTTATTTTTTATGCTTAAATACAAAGCACTAATTAATGTTTTATTAATTACCAATTATCATCTTAAAAGCTAATAAAAGAACCTAAACTCTAAAGGAATGAAAAGGAGCAAGCTGTAACTTCAAAGTGTGTCTGTGCTGAAGAATGATGAAAGAGGTATTGGTGACCTGATCAGAATGAAACAATTGAAATAGATATTCATGTTTCTTTTTAAGCGTAGATTGAACCAATGACCAAAAACTTCAACAATCAGCACTGATTTTAGTCTAATGTTATTTACCCTAATTTGTGCCATATGCAGCATCTGGTACAATGAAGTATATGCAGGTATGCTCTAAGACTGGATGCAAGTCCATTCTAGTTTTTGAAGGCAGCAGTATATATGCAGTATCAGGTGTGTCATTATGTGTACCTAGCATTTGCTTGTCTTTGAAATAACCTGCTGGTTATGCCTTTTTTTTTTTTTTTTTTTCCTTTTGTGCACTTCTGGTAGACAATAATCAAAAATACAGAATTACCTTTTTCTTTTGCATTTATGGGCTTTCATCTATCTGGACAAAACTAATCTTGCCAGCTGGTTTAGGGGGAAAATAAAATCTTCATGACTGGTAGCTAAGATGGACCTTTGAAATACACCATTGCTCATCAGAAAATTCATTTCGTGTATTTGTAAAGGAACATTCCAGTTATCAGGTTGGCAATATCATATTTGTTCCTGTGCTTTGCAATATTTTCCTTGTTAGTTAATAAAACTTGGAAAAGAGTGATACTGGAGTGGTAGCAATGGTAAAGAAGCGGGAATTTGCCTCTAGACAAGAATTCTGATCTGTTGAGAGTTCTCTTCCTAATTTGCCTTTATACCATGGACAACCTCATCATACATAAAAGAAGAACTTGAAACAGAAGTTGCATTCCCTGTTAGGTAAATTAATGCTTACTGGAACTTTCATCTTTATTTACTTGTAAAGTTCTTAGGATTTGGATTAAGAGGAGTGCTGTTGTTGAATGCTTTTGGAAAATTAGTTGTTCAATAATAATTCCAAGAGGAATGTATTTATAATTTGTATAACTCTGTGCTAATGAATAAACACATTCCGTGATATACTCACCTTTTTTTACATACTTTGACTTCTCACTAGTTCCTGAAGTCTTACCCTCTTTTTCCTTCTCTTCCCTTCCTCCATTCAGTACTTCCTCTCTGTCTGGGTAAGCACATGCTGTGTCTGGTTTTGGTGCGACAAGCAAAGTACTGTGCTGTCTGTCACCTTTGAGAATAGGTGAAGTGAATAAATGAAAACAATTTTGCTCTCTCTCTTCTACCTGTATGAGATCAGCAGTACGGTTATTGTAGGAGCTAACTTGCAAAAATGCTCTAAAAAAGGAGTGGGGAAAACACTTTTTCTGCTCAGGTAAACAAATTTTGATGTGAGGTAATGGGTAAAATATATGCTGAATCATGAAGTTCCTTTATTTAAATATATCTCCTTTTTAATGATTTAAGAAAGAAAACATATTCTGATTTAGATAAATGTATGTTTCTTCCTATAAAAAGATAATGTTGTTTATAACTATGGAGATTGGTTCATCAGTAAAAACATCTCTGATAGCAACAATTTAAATAAAAACATTCTCCAGTTGTTTGCTGTTATGTGATGGAAGGTTTGTCCACGGCTCTATATATTTGTTCGATGCTCTGTAGATTCATTCAGTTTTGAGATTTTCTCATTTACTGATGTGGAGTTGGAGTTGTTAAAAAAAAGAAAAATGAACAAGCAAAACCCAACTCCTCCAAAGTAAAACTTCAATCCCAAAACAAAAAAGAACACATAGAAAAAAACCCAAGAATAGGAGAAAACTTCAACAGTGATGCACTTATTGGTCACCAGGAAAGTCTTGGAAGTATTTGTCACACAGTCCTTAATGAAAGTAGACAAACTAAACTTTTTTATTTCCAATTTGAACAGCACAGCAATTATGTGGTTTGTCTACACTGAGAGATTTAGTCATTCAATCCCTTCCCTCTCCCCCTTTTTTTGTTTTTCTTTGGATGCTGTCACCACAATAAGTCATACTGTATATGTGGCAGCTGGTTCACTTATTCCTTCTTGGAGAGAAACAGTTTCATGTTCTCCCCCTTTCTGAGAGGACGTTTGCATAACACTGTAGTTTGGTCAGATAATAAGGATGTGGACCATATCAACTTCAGCTCATACTAATCAGGATAGATCTCCAACACTGCTTCAGCAGGTCTTGCACACTACAAACCCTCATGCTGTCCCAAAACTTTAAGCATATGATACCATCATGAACAGTTCTTTCATGAGATGCATTGCACTGATTGTTATTTTGGACATGTTGAATTTTAGAAAAAGTAATTTTATATATCTAACTCCTCAGGCCAGTGGGATGTCACATGCAGCCACAAGAGATTGGGGTCAAGTGCTGTAGTGTGGATGTGACCAGTCCTCTCTAGAGGGGGATCTCCAGAAGCTCTTCCCTACGAACGGTGTACATGGGTGCTAGTCCACAACACTTTATCCAGAGGCCAGAGCTTGCTCTCTGGCACTATGTAGTTATAGTAGACGTTAACTATGTAGTTACAGAGACTTCCAAAGACAGTGCAGTTATAATTTATCATCCAGGTGAGCAACTAAATTAATTGTGCAATTGGAGGAAGAAGGGGAGGAGAGGTAGGAGAACAATTTTGGGTATGTTGTCCAGCTAGGACTGTGATGTGTGCAGTAAAAGGGTTTTAATCATAATGTACAGGGAGGTGTGCAAATGAGGCCTTCAGTTCTTTCATGAAGTATGTGGAAAATTATATCCACAACAAATACTTTAAAATCTTTCCAATAGAAGAAATGTATGTTGTTTATTCTGGAAAAAGTGACTTTAAGAAAAAAGTATAAAACCTGAGGTTTTTTAAATAAAATCTTTTCCCAGTAAATATACTATTTCTATTGTTTCTTTGAATAACGGAATGTTTCCCCAGAATATTTTTCCTATTTTTATATCTGCCAAGGTAAGAAACACTCCTTTCTGAAAATCACTGCATGTCATCTCTGATGTATTTTTTCATAATCAACTTTATACTGTGAGTAAGTGTGCTAGAAAATGTCATCATGAATTATCATGGGTAGATGGGTCTCATTTCACAATGAATAACAGGTGCCATTACTGAAGAGTTTGAGATGCAACCTTCATTACAGAACAAAGTAGAGTTGGAGTTGCTGGTCTGCTCTTTGCCATCTCTTCTTCTGTCCCATTCAATTTTATTATCGTGTGCCCTAATCTCATAGTATACCGCGTATGTGGCAACTCTGCTTTTTGCCAGGGGTAAGAAGACACTGCTGACAGAAGAAAGGTAAAGGGGAAGAAAACTCTTGCTCCTTGTCCTCCCTGCTAAAGAAATGGTTAGCAAGCCTGAGCACTATTCAGAGGGAAGTGGGGCCCCAAGTAGCTTGGAAAGACAATAGGCTGAATTGTGCAATGTGGGCATAAGATTGGTACAAGAGACTCTGTATTACAGCAATATGGGAATATAAGAGTTCTGATACTTTTCAGTATGATACTTTCTTCAAATTGAACTGGTACTGTGACATCGTATTATCTATCATCGCTTATGGAGGTATCGCAGTATCATTTTAAGACAGTTTTCCTAAAGTGATGATGGTATTGGCTGTTATTGACTCAGTACAGATTATTTGAAGACATTAAACTTTATCATTTTTTTTTACTTCATTGTACTATTTAATTTATATTTGCTTTGCTCATGTAGGCCTCGTTTAATACTTAAGTGCTTAAGTAGTTAATCAGTCTGTTATGTATGAGGAAATTGAGTTGTAGAAAACAAGAATTCTTTCAGTTCTTATGTTCATGGGCCAATTCTTCTGTCAGCATCCTCAAGACTTATGTAGGTATGCAAGTTTAAATTTTCTTCTAGAATATTTTGAGAAAGGAATACTTACATTTTGTGTTATGTAGGCAAATACTGGTTTTGTTTGGGATTATTATTGCCTTTGTTTGGGTTTTTGTGGTTTTGTGTTGTTTTTTTTTTTTGGTTTGTTTTACATGAAACACTTGCAAGAGGAAATACAAGTCCATGTCCTAGGGCTGGTATTTTTATACCAGAGAGATTGCTGGGCAGGTATTCTTTTTTTAGTAGAAAGCTACCTTCTATCCGTTATTTTGGTGATGAGGAATTATAGCTATTAATATTTCACATTAGAACACTAGCAGCTCTACTTTAATTTGTTGGCTCTTCTGCATAACTATGTAATTAAAAAAACGCTGGAAAGTTGTTTTAACGATTACTGCAAAATTTCTGCTGTTAATCATTTTGAATGCACAATACCAAATTCTCATGATGTCAGTGTAACTTGTAGCTAATATATTTACTTTCGGTTAATAGCACCTCATATTAAGAGAAAGCTTTCCACAAGTCTTTCTGGTTTTCACTCTTTGTTCTTCTGCAGTGTGTTAAGTATGTTTCTGTTTTGCCATTTTCTAATCAATATACAGCTGAAAACTACTTGAATTACTTGTGTATGGATAGGTGGTCATGTTCCTGAGTACTAGTGAAACGTGAGTTTTATTCCAGGATTTAAAGTACAGCTTTTGTTTTAACAAGACCATGCTTACTTCAAAGAAACATATCTGTTGTGTGAAGAGGAAGGACTAGCCCAGGAACACATTTCTCTCTCAAATAAGGATGCTTGTGTGAACACTCCTGCATGGGGGATGCTGTGTAAACAGGTAGTGTATTTTGGTTTTCTCTTCTGTCAGTGCTGGCTGCAGTAATACTTCACAGAAGTACCATAATGCTTTCCTTTTAGGGAACCAGGAGAGAAGGGAGGGCTATCAGTTATGTACCTTTGTTTTTTTTTTTAAAGTGTAATCAGGAAAAGAAGATGTGATGGTGTTTCTGTGGAGTGATTGTTTCTGTGTGTTACATTTATATACATACATATGCATATATGAGAGATCATGTTAGCCATAACTTTTTTTCTCTGGATTGCTTATTGCCTAGTTTCTGCTCTGCCCTTGGAATGTAAAGTAGCTTCCATATGTGTAACAGTTAAGGGAAATTATTTAATGGAATAGTATCAGTGGAGTCATTGTCTAATTTTATTTTTTGTTGCTACTGTGTAAATAATCTTCACTTTAAGGTTCAGGCATCTGATTGTACTTTGATAGCAGTTAATTTCAGTTGCAATTTTAAGCTTGGATGGAAGGAATGCAACTATTTATAAATATTGCAATTTGGAAAAAAATCAGTAGTGCCTTTTGATAGTAGATCGATTTAAATTTTTTTCCACTAGATGTAATTAAGGACGTCTAGTTGCAGAATTGCAGTGCAGTTTGTTCTGACTTCTCTGACTATGTCCAGATATAGCGATATTGATTGTGTCTTTGCACAGCATAAAGGAGTTCAGAAATATATTCCTGGTTTGGTGTTTGGTTTTAGTGGTTGTATTTTTTTCTTTTTGGAAGTCACTTTTTTATCTCAGTTACATTGTTATTTTCTGTGAAATTGCATTAGAGCACTATTTCTCATTCAGCTCCAAAAGGGATTTGGTACAGGACAGAAACCAACCATTGGGACTATGGAAAGCAGAAGCACTTTGCATCTACTTGTTTCTTTTCACTGTAGAAATAAGTGCTGCTGCAAAATAAAGTAGTGCTATAGATCATGTCTTGATAATTCAGCTCTTTCATAAGGATCCTAGGTTTCTACACTTAGCAGAATACATGGAGCTATGTAGAGTTCTAGAAACCCTCAACTAGTTCTTCTGGCCACTTCTGTAGTAGTACAAATAAATGCGTGTCCTATACAGTGTCCGGTTCTGGACTTCCCACTACAAGAAGACCATGAAGACAAATGCAATTATACTATAGTGAGTCCGTGCTGCTTGGGTATTGGAGCATGTGACAGATGAGGAGAGTCGGAGAGCTGCATTTGTTGTGAAGTCAACAGAACAAGGCTCTTCTCAGAGGTGTGGGGGTAGGGTGAGAAGTGGTGGACAAGAGCTGCAACCAGGGGAATTCCTGTCTTGATTTTGAGCAAGAGTTTGAATAAGAGGTTGGTCTGGATGTCCCCCAGATGTTCCTTCCAACCTAAATAATTCTCTGTTTCTAGATGATGTTTATTTTTATAAGGAGGGAGTTCTATTTTTTATTACCTTTTTTTCCTTCATTTTTGTACTAGTGAAAGTGAGACTGCAGAGGCAACTGCATATTTAGATAAGCTAGACAGCAGTAAGAATGTCTTATCACTGTAATAAAGTATCATATTCCCCTATCCTTATCTCGTAGGGGTCTGCCTATGTATTTGAATAATGTAAATATCTCTGTGACAGTTTACTAATGCTTGGCTTCTCCGCAGACTGCTAACAAATGTCCCTGTAGGTTTGGTGATGTGGTCTTCTGCTGCTAGTGATCTTTAATGTGGTCAGAAAATATCAGCTCGACACCTATCTGTAAGAAATACAGCAGGGTGTTATTAAAGTAAATAACGCAATGTCTGTTTTACATTCCATAAGACAGTGCACACTATCCTACTATAATATGAGCGTTATTTCTTGGTGTTAAGTAGGTAAGTAAGCCTGTAAGTAACTTTTCCTATAGAGGTAGTATTGAAAGACTCCTGATAACAGTTTCCTGACTTCTTGTTTGGTTTACTAACAATGTCTGCTTTATGTGTAGACTTTTTTTGGGGTATAATTTCAGGTTCCTGGAAAAAAAACCTTGGAATTTGACCCAAGTAAATATGAGTGCTAAAAAAACATAAGGCAATTAAAACCACTAATTATTATTTTGCAAAAGGTAACTAAGCCATTCTTAGGAATACTGTCTTTGAGATTTAACAATATTTTCAATGCTTCCCAAAATAACAGGTAGTTTGTTGCCACATTGTGGTGCAAACAAAACAAAAAACCACAAAAAATTGTCACTTGTGTCCTTTGATCCTTTCCCCTAGTTCATGTGTTTCTGTGAAAACCATAAAATTCTTTCATTCTTCTAATTCTGGAAAAACAGATGCAGTTTTTCCTGAGAGCTCTGTGGAAGGGGAAAGGAGAAGAAAAATGAAGCAGTTGAGGGGTCCTGAGGCTCCCTTACAAGATCAGTTTACTTACTAGGAGCCATTGGTATCTTAAACAGTTTATTTTTTTTGTCATTTGCAGCATGGAGAACACCAGCAGCATACTGCTTTGCAAGGGTTTCTTTTTCGATACTTGACTGCAAGACCGAATTTTTCTTTAGATACTTGAGTGTATTCTTGAGTGTTGTTCATACTGATTTCAATGTTGTTGATCATCTCCCCTTGCTCCTCCACCAGAATTGATATCTGGATAAAAAGTTCCTTTAAGTCTTTGATCTGATTCTCCAGACTGACTAGTTCTTTGTGTCTCTGTTCAATCTCTGAAAGCTGAGCTTTGGTTATTTTGACTTCAGTGAGTAGATTTTCATTGAAAATCTCCCATTTTCCTTGTTGGAGCATGTCATTGACTTCTTCCTCAGATACCTCTTTACCAGCTACTTCCAGCTGACGGACAATAAATCTTCTGCATTTCTCTTGCTTAGCAGTTATAGCATCATTGTATGAGACCATAGCACTTAGATAACGCTGGGACAAGAAAGCGTGCTGAGAAGCTAGAATTCTTACTGTGGCACGTGATGGCCCATGTTCATTTTCAGCTTTTTTTACTGTTTTTGACAGTTCATCCAAACATTTTCGTACGTGCTCTGCTTGAATTTTTATTTCTCTCGCTATGTTAGATTCCTTTTTAAGAACACTGAATCTTCTCATTGAAGATACTAGGCTTTTTTGTTGTTGACTGAATTTATGAACTTCCTCCACCAGATTATTAATTTCAGTCTGAAGCTTCTGGATTTCATGCAAGTGCCTTTCAGTTATGGGCTCTTTTTCATAAATAATGGCCTGCTGTTCAAACTCCTCCTGCTCCTCTTCTTGCACAATTGCACCATTGTTTTCTCCAGCTATCTGTAGTTCCTTAGCTCTCAGTTTAAGCTCTTGGAGGCGGTCTCTCATGGTTTTTGTGTTCAGGTCTTGTTCAAGTTTTTTCCCCACTCTTGCAATACAGGGAGTTAACTCCAATATCTTTTTTCTTGTTTCACTGTAATCAAAGTGTAACAACAATCAATGTTAGCAGTTATATGCATATTATGTTAGTATGCATATTAGTTAGCAGTTATATGTAGCAGTTATATGTATACTTATTAGTTTTGGAGATTAGAGCTACTTCCCTCCGCACAAAAATAAAGTAAATGTGGCAATGTATTGGAAGTGGTAGGTATTCTGAGCAAGTGTACAAGATAAGTGGTGTCAGCACAGTCCACCATTTAATCCAGTTTCTGTAGGACTTAATCATAACCTAAAGTTTTTAATTTATCTTCACGTGGGCACAATTAACAGACTCCACTCAGCTTCTTCACTATAGTGTTTTTTCCTCATACAGTATGTTGCAGCCCAAGTCCATTTTTGTGGTACATTTGTGGTGTAGGGTCCAGAACTTAGAACAATGACGAATACAGCATGTGGAGAGGACTTTTATTTTGGGGAGGAAGAGAGGAGTAACTCAAATTCTTATTTTATTGTAATTCCTTATTTGATGAAAACGAATCAACTTTTAAATCTTCGTGGACATAGAAGTGAATCTGCTGCTCCATTTTTGGATTCTCAGTAGGAAATACACACTTCAGCTTTTGAGGTTATGAGGTAGTCTGTCTAGTGAATCAGTGTTCTGTCATGAATCAGCTACTTTAGGCTTTTAGTTTAGCCACACTGAAAAACTTTTCTGCATTTTCATTGCCTTCACTTGCCTGGGAAGTTAAACTGATAGTAACTGAGCAGTTAACTCTAAAGCAAAACACAACACAACTCTAATAATTTACATGAAAATACTTGTTTTAATGTGTGAATTTTTATAGACGTGGATCCATATCACTAATGTTGCATCTTGAAAATTTTCTAAGCCTTTTTTTGATTGCTGTCATCTATTCTTACATTGTCATCTGTAGCCTTCATAAAATTTATGCAAATATACTTTGTGCACCATAGTGGGATACAATTCAGTACTGTTTCTTATTTAATAAAAAGTGGATTTAGTTCTGTTTTCTATTCTAGCTGTTGTGCAAGTCATAATGGAGATATTATTAAGAGAAAGTTTCTATTGTGTATGTTTTAGAAAAATAGATACCTAAATTCAACTATTTTTAATTATAGGGAAGAAAGTATTTTCCTCAAACTCTACGTGAATATTTTCCTTGAATATTGATCAAGAATGGAAAATTTCAGTAAAAAGCAAAATATTCAGGACTAGAAGATTATGGGATTTTTACTTAGGCATCTTCTGTTTAAATCAAATGTGTGTCTTTCAAAGGGCTGTTCAAGTGTAAATGTTAAAAAGTACAGTAGTATCTTTTGGCTGTTTTCAGGGGTTTCAGGTCAGTCTTCTGAAATAGTAGTGTTTTATAGGTGTGCCTCTTAAACCCCAATTCTGAAGATTTTTTTAATTTTTTTTTTTTTTTTACTAAGCAAATGTAGTATTTCTTTATAATATCCAAAAGGATGCCTTTGTAATAACTGCAAAGGATCAAGTAACCTGTCAATATGCAAACAATTTTGTTACACTGAACAGCTTGAAATGATGCTGCTGTGGTATCTCTGCTCCCTTATGAATATTTAAAGTCCCTAAATGGATTTTTGCATAATATAAGTCATGGAGTTGAACAGTGTGAACATGTCTTCCACAGACTTAAGTCTGGCTGTCTGCAGGGGGATTAGCTGAAAAACAAAACTTGAAATGCTACAAAGATCAATCGTGAGAAAGAATCTTGATAGTCTACCCTAGCATGGATTTCCCTTACTGCTTTGCTTTTTTTCTTCCCTTAATGCCTTAATATCTGAATTTAGTGTTTGTCGATTCACATCAAGAGGATCCAGAAAGCCTACAGTCATTAGAAGTTACAGTAATGTCCTGAGACTTGTGATCAGGCAAGCTTGCCAAGTAGCTTATTTGGAAAGATTACTTAGGAGTGGGGAAAATGCAACATGCATTAATTTTGTTACAGTAATTCCTTTTCATTGCCTAACTTGCTGTGTATCTTCCTGCAGCAGAAGTCAAGCAATTTCTTCAAGATAACATTCTTTAGGAATGTTTCAGATTTGCTTGGCATGAGGGAGACTGCCACAGGGAAAGTTCAGCCTGGGGCATGTGAAAGGAACTAGGAGCGCTAAACAAGGCTTCAGAGAAGTGACCAGAAAATGTGTTCTAGTATAGCCTAACACATCTGTTGACCCATGTTAATTTAGCATGGCTTGACAAGTCTGTGATTAAAAGCAAGTTCTAAGGGCGCTGTTAATGCTTAATGATGTGAGGTGGCAAGACTTTCTTGTACCTAAGAGAATGCAGGTAATTACTGAAAAAGTCTAAAATATGCATGCAGTCATTCAGTTACTCCTTCAGAACACAGTACAGTTTTTCAAAAGGGCAGTTACCAATTTTTCATATCTTCTGTGGTTTGAAAGTAAGTTAAACAGAGGAGCATAAGAACAATAATGAGCTTCATCTTCAATTTGTGTATCCGTTAACAATTGACATCTAATTTTCAATGTTTGGGGGGCATTGGTCTTGAAATAGCTGTATTCCTTTGGGGAACAAAACCAAAACAACAGAATTGCATATCTGTAAATATTCTCATGTATCAAATTGCATATCTGTAAATATTCTCATGTATCAAATTGCTAAGAAGTAAGCAGAAAATACTTAGGATGCTGTTAATGGAATATTTTTTTTTCTCTTTTAAATATCAATCTAACTAAATACTGGAATGTAAGCAAGTGAACTCTCGTTTCATATCTGATATCCTATCGGGCTTGCCTTCAAAACCTGACACTGAACATGCTTGCCAATAAATGTGGTTGATTATACTGGCAACTGAAATGCATGCTGGTTTCAAATAAATAAGGATGTCTTCATGACAAAGATAACCTTGGAAAATTGTGAGGTTGACTTCTTGAGTGTTCCAGAACAAGCTTTGTTCATATACTGAGTCCTTGTTGTTGTCCTACATGCTTGTGTTTATGTATAGGGGCACATCCTGTTGTTCTTTTGATTGAGATGAAAGATCTATTTCCTTGAAGTTTTTGCCAATAGAGGGAGAATATGCCTGTTCTTTTAGGGTTGAGTAAATGGAACATGTGGACTGAAAGCACTGCAGTGACTTAGTGTGTCCCCTACATTCAGAAAAAGATCTTAAAAGGTGATTGTTCTGAAGTGATAAAGAAGCACAGCCTAGCACATCATCATCAGACTTTTTTATTCATCAACACTTGGAAAATTTGGGTTCAGACACCTAAGAGACTGACTGTACTAAAGGCAAAGCAAATCAGTGAATGGGAAAGCATTATCTTGTTAAACTGCTGCTTCAAATTATTGACTATGTTTAGAAATGGCCTTGCTCTTGCACCTGTAAATCTGAAGAGCATTGGTGAGGATTGCTTATGTTTCTAGTCATTTCTCAGTCATAAATGCCGCTCTGTAGTCTTTTATCTGAACTGTTACTGATGCTGAAACCCTATGTTTGGAGCTGGAATCACAAGCTGCTAGCCAGTCTTTAATAAAAGATGGAGTTAAAAACGGAGTTGCTCTAATAATATGCCTGCAATAATTTAGTCAAGCTTGTAGCACTGTGCCTTCTCTGTTCACACTTAGAAGCAATGTAAGATTGAAAACAGCCAAAGAGCAGACAGGGCTACAGGATGGATTTGGGGAGGAGGTGACAGAGGTAAGGAAGGGAAAGGAGGAAGAATTGGGCTCAGTTTTGTCCAGTAGCTAAGTTGTGCTCAGAGTTCAAGGATTACTTTCATACATGTACTTTCATACATGTATTTGAGGAGAAAAAGTAGGAACGCACATTCAGCATTTCAGTCTGGTCAGTCTGGCATACCTTATTTTCTAGAAAGGCTTCCCTCCCCACCCCTCACAATGTTTTCATCATGCAGATCCACTGGTGATTAAGTTTGTATTTTTTGTTCTGGTAGGCATCTTTGTATATAGTTATATATAGTTGACAGCTTCAGAAGTGCAATTTTCACATCCTTGTCAAATACATTTTAAGGGTATTGCAAGAATTTTTGCCTTCTGATAACTTTACTGTGTTGCTCATCAGGGTTACGAATCTCTCCAGTCAAACTGGTGACATATGTGGCTGAGAAAGTCTTTATAATGACAATTACCTCAGCACATTGACTAGGGGAATAATAGATCCTGATGACTGGACCACCATTATTAATCTGTCATGATGACAAAGTATGTCTTAAATTTGAAGATAATAAATTTGAATGAAATGAAAATTTTTATATTATCTTTATATTATCTTCTCCATTTTTTATGGAGGAAAAAAGGAAAAAAAAAAAAAAAAGGCAAGTGGAAAGGTCCTATTTCTTGATTTCAGAGCAGCCATATAGAATATTCTTCCAGCTATATAACTTATCAGTAGACCCAGTAAACAGGGAGCCTACATCCAAAAATGAGATTTGGGCTGCATTATGTTAAAAGGCATAAATGGATATGTGAAATAAGTTGATCATATGGAATTCTTGTTATGGCTGTGATTAGATTTAATGGCTTCTTTTTTGACTTTGATCAATTGTTTTATTTCTTCCACACCTGCTGACTTACCAAAACCTTCTGTTTATTTTAAATTCTATAGTTTTTTTCACTACTTCTTGGTTATTCAGCACCTTCATTAAAATGTCTGACACAAAAGGCTCTGATTTTGATCTTTGATGCAATTTGAATGCCTTCTTATGTTCATTTTAACATACTGTGGTCCACTAAGAGAAGATGACTTGTAGACAATCAAGGGACAGAACTCTCTTTAAGAGCTCTTGGAGACGTACAATCTGTGTTCTTTTTTTTTTTTTTTTTTTTTTTAATGATTGAAACAAAAATAACGGTCAGTTTGTTTTCTTGTTTCTTAGTTATAAATCAGTTAAGGACACTGGGTAGAGGATACTTTCAGGCACTATGTCCCAAAGGAATTTAAGTTTTGGTTTTGGTTTTGGTTTTTTTTGTCAAGTTGCATTATAGCTCTGTTACATGGTGCCAACAAACCTGTATAACTGTTATTTTTGAGCACAATAAATCTGATTAATGTTTGGAGTCATACTCTGGTCTGGAACTTGTTTACTGCTTTAAGTGTTTTAAGTTTAACAACAAAAAATTAGTGAGACAAATACACCATTTCAATGCCTACAGTTTAAGATATTTACAGTAGTCTGTGGCGAAAACTAGGGGCTTGAGTTGAATTTTTAGTTTGCTCCAAAGACTGTGCTCTCTCACGTGTTCTCACAAGAAAAGCAGGAACTTGTTTGATGGTGTTTTGGCATCTTTCCCTATTACCCAAAGATGTATCTTAAGTAACTAAAGTAAGCAATTTTGCTACAGGTTATGTTTATTTTCTCCTTTGTTTAAAATGTTTCCTTTAACTTAAATACTCTGTAAACAAACATGCTTAAACCAAGGATTATCACACAGCATGGTGGTTGGATGAAAATGCCCTCTTAAAGCATCTCTGTTTTAAGATGATAAGTCCGTGGAAAAACATATTTAAAAATAGTTCTAAAGTCAAGTTTCTATGTGTAGGAAGTGTGGGAGTGGTTCAACAGGAAAATACCAAAGGCAGAGAGAGCTTTCCCTGGTTATGAGCCTAAGAAAAGATGACCTTATATGTGGAAGGTAGCTAAATTGTATCAGTATATATACAAAATAAGTAACATTTTCAGCATGGGTGATTTAAGTGCTCATGGATATCTCATTCCTAATATTAAAAAATAAAAGGTCATTTGTATTTGTCAGTCTTTGTTTCTGGGAAATAACCTCTAGCACATTACTTCTGGCATTACCTACTGCCTAACATTGAGGGAATACTGATTGCTTGTCCCCTTGAGACAATGTTACTCCTCAGAACTGCCAAAAGGCTACCTAGTGAAACCAAAATGACCAGTATGCAGAAGCATAGAAGTGCTGCATTTGAAGCAAGGTAGCCTGGGAGTTCTCTCATTAGTGTGAAATAGATCATGGGAGGTGGAGAAATTCTGACAGAGTGAAAATGTGAGATTGAAATGAAATGAAACAGTTCATATGATGGATAATGAGGAGTCCAAAGTTGCTGGAAAAGTGTAACCAAATCATGCTGCTGGAGTAAACCCTTTAAGGGAGATGTAGAGGGGAAAAATGAACCTTAGTTACTTAGAATAATTCAGATGTTGGGTGTTTGGCGAGAAATCTGTAACACAAACATGTTGTAGGAGATGTAGCTGTCTTGTGTTGACTGTGTGGTACGATATGGGAAAGAATCCTGAGAGAGAAGAGAAGGGAATAATACAAGGTATAGACTTTAGCATTAGTGGAGTGGGAGAGTACAGCACTTTGTGAATCATCTATGTTACAAGTGTTCATATTTTGAAATCTCTACAGCTGTCAGTACTTCTCTCGCATTCCAATTAGAAAAAATGTGGAGGTTTTGTTATTTTATGAAGTATTTGGTTCAGAGATGCACAGTGAACCAGTGGCAAATCTGAGATTGTTGCTTGCAGTTTTGGAACCTTCGTTATGAATGTGTGCAGATGTGGAAGGCTTGACCATTTCTGTGTCTACAGATAGCAGTTCTCATGTTCCCTACTGATACTTTGGGTAGTGGAAGGTGGTGAGTTCATGCTTTTGCACTGACATAAGTCACAGTTACGTGACACATGCTGCACCTACACAAGTCCTGACTGACAAAACAATGATCTCACCCTGCAAGTCAGTTAGTGTGTAGATTGTTCTCTGTAATTGTTAAGGAAATGGATTATCCCTTGATAAAAAGTAAAACTGAAGAATTTACTTAATGTTTTGATGGTGGTTTTTTCAACTTAGACCTCAGAAATGAGCAGTAGAGAGAAATAAACGTATACATTGTAGATACCTCAGCTTATTTATTTCTAGCAAGAATAATAATAGAAATCAGCATCTTCACTTAATTAGATGCTACAAATATGATGGCCACCTATAGGTTACAGAAATCCAGAAGGAAAATTATAATCTCCTCTGCCAAAAGATCACAAATTTAAGGTCCAAGTACTGATATATTTTAAAGCAGTATTTGAAAATAAATTAGGAGCAAGTGGAAGGGCTGCAACAGGCTAGAGGACAGGTGAAATTCTTTCCATTTAATAGGAGATATAGTTTGAACTCCTAGATAATGACTTTGTATTGCTATAAATCAGTTCAAGATTTTTGTCTTCTTGACAGTACAACTGAAGGCTCAGAATTTGTACTGTGCAACATCCCACAAACTTTACATTCCCATTTCATCTTTGTCAGACCATATAGCTATGTACCACAGCCTTGGAAACTCACCTGTAATAAATGTAAGGATTTACAGGCAGCTTTTTTAAAAACTGATTTTATAGGCAACTTTGACTAAATAACTTCAATGTTTGCCTAGTTATTGGTATATCAAGATGAAATAGAATATAAGAAAATAATTCATATTTATATTTTTTTAAATCTCATACAAAATATATGGCAATATTTATTGTCATTGCTTTTGAATTGTCACATCTGGAAGCTGAACATGATATGCTTGATATGAGCTGAGACATCTCTTTGTATGCAGCCTATTTGATCAATAGGTATGATTAAACTGATAGCAGAGCAGAGCGTGTCAGAGAAATATGTTTTTGGTAAATAGGAATATGATTCAGACCTGTGGTAAGAATGAGGCCACCTAACCAAAATGAAACAAATTGTAAGTGCTGACATTCTTGTAACCACTTCAACAGGTAGTATGAGAATGAAGTTGCTCTAGAGTTGCCTAGAGATATTATAAACAAGATGAGTTTTCAATCTTATTTCTAAATATCCTTATTTAAATGTGACCTGGAGGAACTGTTTAGGGAAAAGGTTGAATTAGAGAAATGTCTCTTATCTCCCTGCAACTGCATGAAAGAAAACTCTTAATTGATGTTTGCGGGCAGTAATCTTGTAGCACTTTATTCACCAGTTTTTCATTATAGCTTACTGTAATGTTCAAAGAATTGTTTTGCTTAAGAATTGAAGGCATGAAAAACACACTAAAGAAATGAAATAAGCCATCTTATTTAAAGTCAATCGATAAAAAGGTACTGATGTGTTTGTCATTGTTGTCAACCCAGAAGGCACAGGTACTTAGAGTGCTAAAGAAGAATGTAGTTTAAGCTCTGTTAACACCCACCATTTGGATTATTTCAGTGCAGTTAAAAGCTTTTAAATATTTTTAAATAGTCTTGATCTTAGATAAATCATTCTCATAAAGATACACTTTCCTAAAGTTGCTTTTAATCATGTTGATAGTTCTGATACTGTAATATGTTGACCTCAGGGATGCTCTGTTCTTCCTTAATTTTGATGGCCACCATGCAGGTTTGACCCAAAATTTTGGGTTTGTGATAGCTGACTCTGATTAAACTGAACCCCAAAAGCACCATCTCCGACACACTTTTAGAGATTACCCCACCCAGTGTGTACCCTCTGCAGTATTTAATTTTCACTGTTATGTTACTGTATGAGAATCCCACACAAGTGGAGGGATATGCGTATATTGGAAAGTAACAGCATATTAAAAAAACCTCCAAGTCTGCAAAAGAACACACGTGTGTGCACATACCCTTACACAAAATACCCTTTTCCGAAATAAACCTTTTCTGTAACACTTATTGGATTTTTGATGATAGCTGAAATACAACTGTGTCCATTTCATACTGGATTTTTTTTACCAAATCTTTTGGATTGTAAAGTACACTTTAATACTGATTATTTTTTTCTTTTTCCTCTTTGCTTAGTAATTTACATTTTAGAATCGGGTCAAGGAACACACATAGTTTGCATTCAGGCTTTGTTTTTCTCTGGCATATCTTCTAACTTCTAAGAGAAATAATGTTACTCAACTGTAGATGTCAGTTGTGCCAATGCACACATACACTCCCTTTCCACATTGTTTCCCATGACTCTTAAAATAAAGTTCAGAAGCTCTCTAGTTGCTTAAAAAAATCCGTCATGATACAGAAACAGTTGGTGCCTACCTTTTCTTTATTTCTTGCGTAACGTAAGTTTGCTACACTAAGGTTCCAAATATACTTTATGTGAAACTGAAATAAGCCAAGCACCTTTTTATATATGAAATCTTCTTACGCAGCAAACTTAATGTGATAAACCAACAGACACTCTCCTGGGCTTTCAGCTATGTTTTGATATGTATACCTCCTACAGTTTTTTTAAACATGAAAAATTGCTATATAATGAAGTTCTACTGACTTGGAAAATTAAAATCAAGGTCTACCCTTTAAGATAACTCTGACGTGTTCTCTAAATAATATGTGTTTTATGCATAAAACTGCCTCAAAACCTAGCATTCTTGTGCATGAGCAGTAGAGCTCTGAGACTATATTCACCCAGAGAAATATCCAGTTCTTTGCAGAGTAAAGATCCATTATTTGTATGTCTTGACACTTAGGCACATTTCTGTTCTAAACCACACTACACAGCCTTTTTCTGATATTTGCAACTTTATAAACATTAAGTAAAAGAAAAGTCTTTACCTATTAATCCTGTGATGGTGGCTTTCTCTTTTATCCTTTAGAGAGGAACTCCTGAGGTTGTTTCAGTATAATCTGAAAAACATTGTTTCAAATATTTGCCTAAGTAATGTGTTTTGGGTGGCATCCATTATTTTCTGCCTGCCTTCCGCTTCTAGTTCTTATATAGTTTTCCAGGGGTTCATCTTGAAGAGCGGTGGTGTGAGAGAGAAGCTGACTTCTGCAACTGCAGTAGACAGGCAAATTGATTGCTTTCTACTTGGGGAATCTGGTTCTGCCTGTTTGAAACCCAGCCTTGCTGAGAGGCGGATCGGTGCTGGAGCTGCCCAGTATCAGGAAGTGTCTAAGGAGCAGCTCCCTAGACGGAGGCTTTGTAAGCTGGAAGTGGAGCACTGCCTACCTATGGAGCACAAGTGTAAGCTCAGGGGTTGTGTTCTACACTGAAGCACAAAGGCAAAAAGAAACAAGGGTAGGTCATTGATCTATTAATGCATTTGCCTGAAAAGAAAAAAAAAACAAAAAACCCACACCAGCGAAATACGACCCTTTATCACAGTATCTTAAAAATATTTCAACTCTATTTATAGGTTTGACCTAAAGGCTGAAGTGAGCAGGGGTGTATGCATGACCTGTGTAAATCCCACTTCAGTTCTTGGGGAGCAGAAGGCGGAGACAGCTATTTTTGGATATGCTGCTTTTCCAGATACAGCACCTCAGCTGTATTTTTTAAATGTAGTCAATATTGCAACAAGTGCTGTGAGAAAATGGAAGCTAATTGACAAAAAAAAAAGAAAAATCTTACACCTTTCAAGATATCAGGGGTTTTGAATCAGCACCTACTGCAAGTTATAGGACGTTAGTGTCACACTCACACTGAGCTATGCAGCTTACCAACATTCCATTCTGCTTCAGCTGTGCTTTGTAGAATGTGCCGTCCGGTAACTTAGTAAATAGTCCAGTTATTTAATCTTTAGGTGAAAAAAGAATAGGCTGTGGCAAGAAACTCTTGTGTTCAGAAATATTTTCTTCAATTAGATCTAGATGAATTGACAGCACTGCTGAGGAATGTGTTTTGAAACGAAGGGGCAGTGCAGTAGGGTTTTCAGACTGTAACAAAGATAGCTTATGTGGAAAAAAAAAAAAGTGGAGATAATTGTTTCTGATCTTTTAATTACTTTCCATAACTTTCTTGAATTTCATTTCAGTTTTTCCCTGGTTTAGTTTTGGCCCGATTTCATAGCTAAATACTGGGAAGACATTACTTGTTGTAACTGGTTGGTGAGAAGGAATAGTGCCAGAGTATCATAAGCATATTAAAAATGACCTTGGTTCTATATATGCAATGAGCAACAGTTAGAGAATCTCTGCACTGAATCATGCAAAGTACCATAGAAGTACTCTTTTCTCGCGAAGTGGGAATGGATTATCTGTCCTGGGTTTGAGTGAGTGGCAGGGGTTTTTGGTAGCAGAGGAGGGGGCTACAGCAGTGGCCCCCTGTGAGAAGCTTCTTGAAGCTCCCCCGGCTCCAAGTCGGACCCTCCTTTGCACCAAGGCCGAGCCAGTTAGTGATGGTGGCTGCACCTCTGTGATAACTCATTTAAGAAGGAGAACCTGGGAGGAGTGGTGGGAGTTGTGAGGAGGAGTTGCAAGGAGAACAGATGCAAACACCAAGGTCAGTGGAAGGAAGGAAGAGAAATGGGGGGGAGGTGTGCCAGAGCAGAGATTCCCCTGTATCCTGTGGTGAGACGGCAGGCCTGCCCCCCTGCCACCCATGGGGGTCTGTGGTGGAGCAGATGCTGACCTGCAGCCTGTGGAGGACCCCGTGCCAGGACAGGTGACTGCTCCCAAAGAAAACCCCATGGGAATAAGGCCCCGCTGTTGTAGTTCGGGAGGATAGCAACACAAGGGGGTGACCATAACCCACATACCCATGGGAGTGAGTGATGTCAGAGTTGGCTTGTGGAGGACTGTCCTGTGAGAGGGGGACCGTGATAGAAGAGGGGAGGAATTCCAGAAGTTCCTCCCCCACCGAGGTGGAAGAAGCAGCAGGACTGACTGCACACCCCCACTACCACCACCCCCATTCCCTGCCCCTGAGCTGCTGGGGGGAAGAAAGTAGAGATACCAGGAGCAAAGCTGAGCTTGGGAAGAAAGGAGGGGCAGGGGAGGGAGTTTGCAGGATGTAGTAACGTTTCTTACGGCCCTGCTCTGTTAAGTGTTGTTAGTGTCTGTGTTAAATCTATGTTCTTTTTTTCTTCCCCTAACAAGTCTGTCTTTTCCCTGTGATGGTAATGGATAACTTATCTCTCCCTGTCTTCATCTTGATTCCTGAGCCTTTACTTTCTCCTTCCCAGCATGGGGCAGGGGGAATGGGGGAGTGAGCAACTGTGTGGTGTTCAGTTGCCCTCTGAGCTCAAAGCAGGATATTATCAAAGGGAGGGGTGGGGAGGAAGAGCCTTATGCTCTTTCTAGCTCTTGAGGCAAATCAGCAAGGTTTTGATTGTCAGTAGGATGTAGTGTTTTTGTTGTTGGGTTGTTTTTTTTTTTTTCCCAAGATGATGATAAATAAGTGAACCTTTTGGACCACAGATAGTTGACTGATGAAGACTGAGACAGAATGGACATTTGAGAAAGTGTCTGTCTGTGGTCTCCTTCATAAACTCTTCTTTAAAATAAAAGAATGATTAGATAATGAATCTCAGTGCATGAGGTTAATGGTGACAAGGAATGTTTTTCTGAGCTGTAGATGCAACACAGCTTTTTTTTTTTTTTTTTTTAATGCCTCTTTGAAGCTAAAAACTCTCTTGGGACTAAAATAATTAAGAATTGAGGCTATTATACTGTGATTATGGAAGATAAGAAGGAATCAGGTCTTAGATCAAACTGAAGTACTGACAAGTTCTGGTAACTGTGGAGTGCGTTCGTACCATTGTTCCTTCCCAGCATTGAGTAAGTACAAGCTTTGGCCTAACATTCCCTAAAAGCCATTTGAGTTGATGATGATGATGACCTGAGATTTCAGAGGAAAGGCTATGATGTCTGGTTCCAAAGCCATCTGCCATTATGTTCATGGAAGGCAAATATTTGTGATTTTATCCAGAGAGTTGAATCAGAGTTCTCATGTAATGGAAGGGTTGCTAAATTTCAGAACAACATTGTTTTAATGGAAATCCTTTATTAGAGAGAAGTACAATTTTTGGATTCTCTAATCTTATTTAGTACTCCTCTTTGCAGCCTTTGCACTTGGCTTGGATTATTACTGTTGTGGAAAATACAAAATAAAATTGCATTGTATGCTTATATTGCAGAATGGTCTACTCTGGTTCAAAGCAAAAAGTACCAGTTTTCATGCTGAAAAACAGTACATTTGAACAGGAGTAGTCCATTGCTCGTAAATTATGATTTAATATCTTTTCATAGTTCCTAGAGTTTTACCATACTAGCTTTTAATTAAAAGCAGGTAATGGGAGAGAAAAGACTACATATCCTATTGTCACAAAGAGTTTTTAATAAAGATGAGAACAAATCTTTTTTGATTTGACCTCTTTTGTGAAGTTTTGATTATTCCTTATAAAACTCTCAGACCCTCAAGAAACATTATTTATTTCCTATGTGGTTTTTTTTAACCATTTTTGTTTGTCTGTTTAAAATATATATTTTGGATTTCTGTCTAAATTTCTCCATTTGTTATTAAAATTTGCTTGTAAGTGAACTCAGAACATGACTGAAAGTACTTTTTAAAGTTTCTTCTTAGGAAATACCTCTGCTCAGCTAATACATCCCTAAATACTTATGTAAATTTACTGTGTTAATCCATCCTACCTTCTTGGATGTCGACCAGTTTAAATCCGTTTTAATCAAGAAATTGCAGTCTCAAGAATAGTCAAGTCCTGTCAGTTTCATGAAAATTATTACTTGGATAGCTGAGAGAAATCCTCATGAGGGAAAAGATTTTGCCTTTCTATGAGAGGTGGTTCCATACAGGTTTTGGCAGTTACCCTTGCTTTTTCTTACAGGTAGTTTGTGATGTACCTTTTAAGGGCTTTAGATAGGAAGCTTTTCCAGTTTCATTTCATATATAGAGGAGTTTTCAGTGAAACATTAAAAAATTAGTCTTGATAAAAGGAAGTAACTTTCATTTCTGTGGTTAGAACATTATATCACCAGGAGTTTGCTGAGGGGAAGAACTTAAGTGTTTGAGTTGTTTATAATTCTGGACATCCCTCTTATCTTTGTAGTGGTTATTGATAACAGTGTTGAAAGGAATATAACAGCCTCTGCTTCAGAGTGTAGTATGTCCATATTAAAGTGTGAAATAATGCGGAACATTCTTTGAGTGATAAATCAGATCTGGTTTGTGCCTTTTAAAAAACACACAGTATTTGCTGTAGTGTTGGATGCGATTACATATACGGAAGACAAATCTGATCAAGAACAACAGTCCCCCCAAAATTTAAGTTTTTAATCTTCTGGTGTTCTCTTTGCTACCATATCTCTAAGAAGTAAGACAATACTTCATCTTATAGAATACTTGTTTTGTAAGCTGTGTGTTTCATACAATTTTATTTTTTTTTCCTGCTCTCTATTTAATAATAAAGTGTGGTTTTTAGAGGCATTCATGCAAGTTCTTCCCTCTGAGCTTTAATCTTTACTTAAAAAGAGCAGGTTCAAAACATTGCAGATCATATTGTTTGACATCAGAGAGAAATTCTGGATAGTAGGCCGACCCAAGATGATCATGAAGCAGTATTATGCAGGCAAATGTGCATGGTTTGGGAAGTTGCAAAGTTCTGAACTTTGATCTGTAGACACCAACAGATTGTACTGTGTAGATGTAGAGCAGTACAGTCTTTTCCATCCATCTTCTTAACTGTAAAATGTTGTTATTTTGTCTATTAATTATTATTAAATAATATGAAACACCTTAGTAATACTTTAATGTTAGTATCTGCTGAAACTAAACGAGAATCTTTCTTGTGTCAGGGTATGAAGTGTTTATTTTGATCTTTTATTTAGGCTGGCAAATAAGCAGGACAGAGAAGGAGCTCTCTCAGAAGCAGATCTAATCGAGTCTTTATCTCTGGAAAAGCTTGTCAATGAACACAAGTGTCTATGTCAAATTGTAAGTATATTTTAAGGGACTTAATTTTCTAATATATATATGTAAAGCTTGCATTAAGGTAGGAGATTGTGCCACATAGCATAAAACTGAAAATAAAACCCTGAAATCTCAGCAAAGATACAGTACATATATCTGTTCTGCAAGCAATTCTATTGTTCACCTTGATGTTCTGCTTTCTTTTAATCAACCAGTTTGTTAGTTAACTATTTGTGGGCTTTTATAATCTTTTTCTAATTGCAATAAGAAACATTTTAAAAATTAATGAGAGTTATGCTGTTATTCATCAAAATTAGAAGGCAATTTTGCAAAACCATTCTGGCTGGTATTTGGGTTTTAAAAATTAAAAAAGACTTTTAATTCCCTCAGGAGACTTGCAAAATTCGTAGGATAATACATATTCCTATTATTTTCTCTAGAAAGTTGATTTATAGCAGGGCATAGCTATGTTCATTATGTCATGACTCTTTGAGTGCTTTTCTTCAGCCAGTGGACTTTGTACTATGCATATGTAGGAGTCATATAGATTCTTACATATCATATAGAATCATATAGAAATAAAAATTGCAAGTTCACCTTTTTTTTCCACGGGACTTCTGTGACAAAAATATTTTCTTGCAAAGCATTATCAATATAAAACACCTGAAAGATTCTAGTGTATTTTTTCAGTACTTCAGAATTACTTAATTTATGACGTGTTCCAGTAAAATGCTCTTCTTGTTCTCCATTTATAACTTGGGCATAATCCACAAAGAAACTAGATTAAATACTCATAAGGCATTTTAGCTGAAATCAGATGACAGTTTTACATACTCAGATGGGCATCTTCTTTATTAGGCTCACTAAAGGTAAAAATGGTCCCAAGTTATTTCAGTATGATAACACATGGGATGAATTTAAACAGAGGCATTGTGAAACAAGTTTTAAATTAAATTAGTCAAGGACCAAAAAACCTTTTGTTTGTTCTTATTCTTTTAATTAGTTTTCTCTGGATCTTTACATTTCCCCACAAAATATTAAAGCAGATGGAAGGAGTCATTGGTCAAACAGTGTCAGTGAGAATGACCTTCCTCTATTTTTAGTATGTCTGTATATTCTATATTTCTAAATTTCTCTATTTTATAACTGAATGACAGCAACAATAGTCTTGGTGCAAACCAAGAAGAAAATTGCCCCACTGCTGTCTATTGTTTTGTCTTAGTTTTGTCAGAGAAAGAAGGTATTATTGCCTATGCATCTTCTCCCTGACTAGGTTCTACTAGAGTATTGTAGTGTTCCATAGTGAACAACAGTCCTATCTGAACCTTAATTTAGACAAAGTAGAAATGTATTAAAATGTGAACTAGGCTGGGCACTCTAGGGGGACATAACTGGTCAGAGGTTTTTTTTTCTGTTGTAAATCATACATATCATATCTGACTATGATGCCATTTAAATGCTTGTCAAATGAAAACAGAGAATTTTTTAGGTGTTGACATGGAGAATTAGTCTTTTCTAATCTTCCTTCATTCATGAACACAAATACTGAACACAATCAGTGTGAAATACCATTTCTTTGTTGTCAAATACATAGATGGATCTATTAAATTCTTTTTCAGAGAACAGTTTAGAAGACCCATAGTGCTCCAAAACGTTCTGAAAAATAGTTCTGAGTAGATCTTGAGACATCATCTAGTCCTTTTCCATGTTCTAGGCTAGAATCAAGCCATCTCTCTTTTTTTTTTTTCTAATTAAAGCCCATTATACTCCTGACAATAAACATGAACAGCAAATTATTATTATTCTGTTTTCAGTTATGCCTTATGTTTTTGAAGGCTATATTATCATGTATCCTTGAAGCTTTTTCATCTCAAGAGAACTATTCCTCTTCCTTCAATGTTTTCTTACCAGATGTGTTTTCATAATCAATTTTGTCTTATTTTTCTCACTCTACTGATTCTTTCCAGTCAATCCACTTCCTTGAATTGTTGCATCCAAGCTAGATAAAGTATTCCAAACTAATTTAGAAATGGGTTTTGCACCCATCTTCCAACAGATTTGCCTAGATCATGTTTCTCTTGCCTGCTACTGAGAATATCATGACAACAGTTTTATTCCAATCAAGATGCATAATATTTTGCTTCACCCCTATCCACAGTACCTGTTCTGATCTAAAAAACTGAATTGGTTTGACAGTTTTCCTGACAAATTCACACTGGATTTCTTTTATCCCATAGGTGCTTATGAACAAATTGAACATTTGTTTCATGAACTGAAGCGAAGCTGATTCTCTTGCACCTCATTTTTTCCATTTTACTAGATAAATATAACATGGACTTTTTATAAACCAGCAGCAAACAGAACATGCATATTTGGGCTTGATAAATTATATTTCTATATAGATGCACAGATATAGATGTGTATAGAAACAGATGTGTAAATATACATAAACATAGCTGTATATGTAACAGCTGTGTGTATATGTAACAGGTGTATATATGTCTAGAGACAGACATGTAAACATGTTTTTCTGTGCACTATTGTATTTTTTAAATGGGTCCAGAAATAATGACATTTGGTAGAACCAATGTGAATTTGTATCTTGGCAAAAATAGAATACCTAAATGCAAATTTATTTCTCATACTTCTCAGTGTTTTGCAAGTTTCACAGTAAACAGTAATTGTTTGGCTGATTTCTTGTTTTCACTGAAGAAATGTGATCTGAACTACAAATAATTTCCCCTTCCTTCTTGTCATATTTACAGGAACCTTGCTCAGCTATCATGGGCTATGGGAAGAAAATTGATAAATCAATAAAAAAGGGTTTATATTGGCTTCTACATATCATAGCAAAAGATTTTGATGCCTTAAATGAGCGCATCCAAAGAGACACTACAGAACAAAAAGCATATGAAGAACAAAAGAAACTAGAACGAGCTGAGCGAGTGAGAAGGATACGAGAAGAAAGGTACTCTCTTTATAATTTTTTCTACCTCCCCTTCCTTCCTTTCTCTAAGATACCTGATTCATTCCTGTACAGAGACCTTATGGGAACCAAGGTATCGAGGATTTAAAGCTTACAAGCCAAGAGTCTCCATGTTAAAAGTATGAACCTGAATGCTAGAGCCTTTGTTTTAAGACCTACAAGGTTTTGCCTGGTTCATCCTCTTTATTTTATTCACTCTGTGCTGGACATGTACTGTGAATGAAAATTGCAAGGTAGTTGTCAAATAAATTTGGGCTTGCTAATATAACATCACAGGAGACTAACTTAAAAAATAAATCCTGTCATTCAATCTTAAATTACCTTCAAGTGTGTTCTAAAATAAACTTTTATTAATTTAACTTAGACTTTGTAACCTATATGTGAATGTCAAAGACTAGAGGTGAAACTTGATTTAACATTATGCTTAATAAGCTGCAGGATATCCAGCAGCTGAGGCATGAAGAGTTTTAAGATGATGCAGGGAGGGGAAGCAGGACAAGTGATGTATTGCTTCCCTTAAAAGCCCTTTGTGCTCATCAGCAGCCCACCATGCTCCCTATTAGAGACTGATATGAATAATTTTACTGGGGCACTCTTAAAAAATTTGCTGAGCACCCCTGTCCCCCCATCTGTCCTATATATCCAGAGATTTGAGAGTCTTAGTTACTGTGAGAAGTAACTGTGAAGCTACTGTGAAGTGTTTTGGCTTGTATTCTTGCTGATGTGCTTTACTTCAAGTAAATTTCTTAAGCACATTTTAAACACCTGGAATTTGATATGGTCTTAATACATTTTTCACAAACATAAAAAAATTCACATGCTGTTAGTCTGCCAGATGTCTCTGCATAGACAAAACCCTCTGACCATTGGGTTGTGTTGGGTTTATGCCATGTTGAGAGGTGTAGTGAGGAGGACTGACCTTGAAACATGTCTCAAAGAGATTGTCTGATGATATGAGCACTTTCCATATATTCTGTTCCTGTTCAGTGATCTTGACAGATTGTTCACTGGGAGAATTGGTTGGGTCTGAATTGGATTAAACGGTTAAAAGTTTTGCTAAACTTCTTGTGTCTTAGAGGAAAGCTAACTAATAACTTCTGGTTTCATCTGTAGCTGAGGGCTTGTTTCAGGCATAAGAGATGGCATTAACTCTCATTTTGCTGTTTTGCATCAAATAATTTTCTTACTGTAAGAAACAGATTGATCTTGATTCAAGTGTAATTCTGTTTCATTCTGTCCTTTAATAATTCCCCAGACTGCTTTTTGTTCAGATTTGCTTCCAGGAATGTTTTTGAAAAGTGCATTTCCTCTACAATATGTTAGTAGCAATTGTCTTGTTCCAAATGGAAAACCAGAGAGAGAGGTAGTGCCAATAAGTTTTAACATAACGCTGGTCATTCCTTCCAAGTAACATGGTTTCCCAGGTAGATCGGTGACCTCCTTTTCATTCCCATCTGTGCCTCTGAACAAGGGGTTTACTTCCTCTCCCAGTACTTGCAACTGTAAAGTCGGTGTAACAGTGACTTCCTATGCACAAATACCATCAGATTGATTGATGAAAAGTATGTGACTTTATTAAAGATATATTATTTAATACATAGTAATTTAATATTTCTTACATAGAGATCTGGTACATAAAAAATAACTAGTGCTCGTGCCACAAGAGTATACTGAGCATTATGTGTTGTTTCTAAATTTTTCTGAGTCTAGTTAAAGCAAATGTGATTCCCTAACTGTTCTGCATAAACTGAACAGTCTGGTACTGGTTCTCCCTTATGTATATTGAGAAGAATCTACAACTGTGAGAAACGGAACTGTACTAAAATAGAAGAATAAGTTTTAGCTAATCTGGTTTCCCACCACATAGATTTTTATTATTTAAAAAAAAAAAAAAAAAGATTGAATACCTTTGAAACAATTGTTATAAAAGATTACCAGTGTGAAAATTTCAGCATGAAAATTTCAGCATACTGTTGAACAATCAAAACCTTCCAGTTACAGATGTATTCTGTCACATATTCTGTCCTCAGAAACTGCTTCTACTTCCTGAAGTGCTGACTGAACATTCTGGCACATAGCAGCATGTGTTTATACCTCTGCCATAACATATACTTGTGCGTTATTGATAATAGCTTGTCACTGTGATTTCTGTAGAATGTTTTTCAAAATAGTGAAGCATATTGTAAAAATCAGCTGGCAAAAATTTGAGGATGAGTTAGATGACCCGATAAGTGTTCTGTATTATGTAAACTTCATGGCTTGGCTTCTTCATAATTATTTGTTCATCATCCCTGTTTCTCACTCCCAAAAAAACCCCAAAACACCAAACCACAAAACCATTAAAACAACAACATCATAAACACAACAACAACAACAACAAAGGGAAAGAGAAGAAGGAAGAAGTGTACCTGATGAGGAAGACCCTGAGCCTGGGAACTCTGTAAACCCCTTCCAGCCTATATCTGCTGTAATCTCTGAGGTATGAGAATATGTGGAAATCTGGATCGTTTTAGACCTACCACTAACAAATGTCTGAGAGGTAATGAGAAAAATGGTTCATTTCAAAGAATTGTTCTAAGTCCGTATGCACAGCATTTTTTTTTTTTTTTTTAAATCTTGGCAGTCTTGTTTTGTGTGCATTGAAACAATGCTTTCATGTTAAGAAATTCCCCTACTGTTGATTTGGGGACAAAAAGTTTTGTAGACACAGTAAAATAAAGGTATTGTAAAGAGATAACTGAACACATTTCCGAATTAAACTATTGGATATTCAGGAGTGGAAAATATTCAGGGTCTATTAGTTTCTTGCAGAATGTTTTAGTAATGTAGTGAGTTTTACAAAATCTTATTGACTGCTTCAACTTTCTGAGCATAACCTGTTTTCTGTTGAAAACGGAGACAACTGAAAAGTTTTCTTAGCTTTGAAATATGAAAAGCATATTAATATAAAAAGTTACCTTAACCTGCATTTCTGAGTTCAGGCAGTTCTTATTTGTTGGACCTTATTTTTTTATTCAGTTGACTTGAGATAACATAATCTCAAGAAACACGTAAACTCTCAGGGTCTTTTCCAGTAAGTAATTAAAACATTTCTTCTCTCCAGGACAAAAGCACCTATATCCATGTATCTTGTAAAGTCATCCACATGCACAGTAATACACTTTATAAAACATACAGAGTAAGAAGAGAAGGGTATAGCTGTGAGTATTGCAAATGATTTCGTGATACAGAACCTGTAAAACAGCATATCATTGAGTCAATATGACACAACTGGTATTTGTCCAACTCATGGTAGCACTTTCTGGATACTTAAGCTCTGTGCATGTGTATTTTGTTTTAAGTAAAAGATTAAAACAAGAAAAAAAATAGATAATTGAAGAGGAAGAAATTCTGAGTTTTCTAACCTTTTGCGCAGGACTGTTGATGTTGTTTATATCGCTAATGTTTTTTTGTCATATGGCCAAAAAGAAAGCAAAAAAAAATGGCTATAAACCTAAATATCATTTCATTTGCTGTTAACCCTTTTTTTCAATTTTCTTTAAAATTTTTTTTCCTTCCTCTGGACAGGATATTGGAAGTTTAATTTCTTCATTAAAATATTTTCTATGCTAGTTGTGGGGCAGAAAAATATTTTAGAATATTATGATTTTTTAAAGTAACCTATCTGTCTTATGTCACTCTACAACATTAGAAGTTGTTTTAAAAAATTATCTCTGTTAGAATGAAAAACAAATGGAAAAGAAGCGGCAAAGGTTGGAGAACGAAAAGGCTACAGTTGTCTTGAAATCGCAAACAGAGCAGGAACAAATGGATGCCCAGCGCTTGTCAAATAGCAGTAGCCAAAACACAAATGACAGTAGACTAGAAACATGCAATTCTACAACTACACAGCTTTTGCAACATGAAGAAGAGAATGAGCAACAAGCCTCAGAATGCCTTGACTCAGGTAAAACTGCTTCCTTTTAATGTATCATTTAATGTTATTTTTCACATAGTTCATCCCTCTGTCTATTATTTTTCATGATACCACACATCAATTTAATCTACTGAAAATATAAAAATACACCATTAGGTTATTGTATTGGAAAAACTGCTTCAAAAAAAGTGCGTGTTTGTTGGTGTAACTGATACTGTAGATGAAACTAGGTTCGTTTTCATCATAATCAAATACACAGTCCACTTTCCATCAGTACCAAACTAAGTTGAATTTCTTAATTAAAACATTGAGTTTGCATATATTTTATGCGTACAGTTTATTTTCTGTAGCAAAATGTTGTGTAAATTTTACATTTCATATAATTTTGTGTGTAAGTTTAGACTGAAAATGATGTATATCACCCCAACAACTGTATTAGAGGTTGATTTAAGATACTCTCTGAATATAACTATGTGATATATAATGCTTTATTTCTGTTTGGTATAGATAACAGTAAGAAAAAAAATAAAAAACCTAAATTAAAAAGAGGCCACAGAGTAGAACCTGTTAATGCAGAGGATACTATTCCCAAAAATCCTACACCACCACCAGCTCTTCCACCAGGTAAGTGTACTAACAAACAATAATCGATGTTTCAGTTTGTGGTTATTAACCCTTTAAAATATTAATTTTTGAATGATGAAACTGAAGTGTCTTCATACAGACATAATGCTACTAAACCCTATACTAGGAAATCTTTGATGTAGTTTCCCACTTCATGGTATGAACTTTCAGCAGTATTAATTTGATATATTCCATGAGGGAATCATTGTTCATCATATATACAATATATTACATACTTTTGGCATTTCTAAATCCTTTGATTTCTTCCAAAGAGAACTGGCTTCTGTACATTTCATCATATTCAGGTGCCTGCGTGGCATGTTTTGACTGTCTTTGTTTTCCTTTAGTTGGCTGGGGAACTCCCAAACTTAATAGACTTCGAAAACTTGAGCCTCTTGGTGAAACACATCATGCTGGTAATTGAAAATATTTTGGGTTTTGTACTTTTTTTTTAAGCATTCTACACTGTTCATTCACTTCTACATTCATTTCAGTCTTCATCTTTTTTTTTTAATTTCTTAATGCCAGTTTTCATTGACTAAAAGCTAACCCTTTGCTTAGTAGAAAGCATCTTTTTGATTTTTCAAGTCTTCTTTTTTTACCAAAAAAAAAGATCTCTCAGTTCCCTTACAAAGTTTAAAGTGGCACAGGATATCAGAAACTATTAATGATCGACAGTTATTTGCACAGCAGCATGCACCTGAATATTAATGTGCATATAACAAAGAGTAACTGGACCGGTTACTTTAAGAGTCCAAACACACACTGCATTCAACATGAAAGTTTCAGAGTATATTTCCATTGTCCATGTGTAGACAGTTCATCATTATCTGATACAATGGGGACAGGAGTTGGCTTACCTGGGTACCAAAAGAAGTCAGAGGTACTCAGTAGAGAGGATACTGCAGAGACCCAGGAGGGCTTATTACTTTGGCATCCATAGCGGCTGTTCCACACCCAGGCTGGTTCTGCACTAAGCTGCCTTTTTGTTTCCACACTGATCTTGTGATCTGATCTGAAAGTGCTAATTGCTTCAAAATACCGAACCCAAATGGACCCCATGTATTTCTGTAGTTCTGTGAACCACAGCCCATATCCACATGGATTTGCTGTATGCAAGCTGACTCCTTGTGTTGCCTCTAGAGATAGTCTAAAATTTGTTCTACCCACTGCTATGCTTTCCATATGGTTTTAAAAGAATAGTTTGTAAGATTTTTGCCATTGATTTGGGGGTGTTTTCTTGTGAGAAAGAAATGTAAAAACATGTGGTCACGTCTGAATCAAGTGCATTATGTCAGCAACTCCACATGAAAAGCCCAACATAAATTTGATTGCAGAAGTAGTGAGACTTGCAACTGAAAACTAGATTATCTGCAAGGAGGGGTGTCAGTGATAAAGCTTGAGATCATCTGCTTTGCCTGAAGAGCCAGTGTCCCTGGAAGTTCACAAACTGAAAGGAAAAATAAGTTTAATAACTGGAAATATCAAGGTGTTAGTAGGCAGACTCTTGATTTATATGCTTTCTCTCTTAATTATGACTATTTCCTATTTTTGGAAGACCGTGGAAGATTGTTTTCATATGCTCATATAGCATCTTTTTCTCAGTTTTAGATGATAATTTTTTTACGTTTTCTTACATTTTTATTTTTCAAATTTTGAAAAGCCAAGTGATTGTGGAGACATCTGGGGTAATATGAGAGGAGCATAACCACACTAAAGCAGTGGGAACACTTACAATACAAATTGAACAAAGAGAACATTAATTGACGAACGTAGAGAGAAAGAAGCTCAGTTTGTCTGTAGTGATCCTTGAGCTTAACCCTGACTTGAATTGATTATACTACTACCATGTAGTACAGCACCATGTCGACATACCTGCTGAAGTTCTGAAGCAACAGAACATGGAGCTTCTCTGCCAAAGAATCAGAAGATGCCAAAAGGGGAATTAAGATCTCTAAAATCTAGATATTTATTTTTCACAGGAGCGTAATTCATGTGCATACAATGTAATTTGTAGTCTTAATCATGAAACCATCTTGCTCTTTTTTTTTTAAAGGCATATAGAAAGAAGGCGGCAAGAAAGAAAAGCCAGATGAAGAGGTAGGGAGGGGAAGAAAGGGAAGAGGTGGTACTTAATTTTTATCTCTGCCTAAGGGAGGTGTTGCATTTTGTAGCAAGAGCATGGGTGGGACAAAGAGATTAAAAAAGATATTAAGCTAGGTTCCCTACACACAGGTGTGTGAGTTAGCAGCCTAAGATCTCTGTTAATTTATTCCATTTGTAAAATAAGGATAATAATTAAAGTATTTTGGAATCCAATGATGGAAAAGATGTTGGTAGGGAAATGATCTCATGACCAGAGGTGTAACCGTTGAGATCAGAGGAAACTTGGAGTGCTTAGAACTTTTCAGATGAATCCAAGACATTGCCCAATCTTTGCTGAGACTTGTTTTTTTCAGGAATTTTCAGACACTCACAAGTTTCACACAGGTACAGAAAATCCTGAGAAAGCAAGAAAACATCTATTAGGAAAGCACTATTTATAAACGAAAAAATCTCTTCAGCTGCATGGTCCAGCATTGTCAAATGTTTAGTTAGGACCTGATATCGAGGAACATCAATTACTTTACTTAAAGCAGTTGGTTTTTTACTCATACCATTTGAGAGCCATAGAATCATTTAGGTTGGACAGGTCCCTTAATTTCAACTGTTAACCTAACACTACCAAGTCCATCTTGCACTGATTTTAGCTTCCCATCTCTCTTTTCCCATTTTCTGTCACACAACAGTGTTTTTCAGTGTCTTTTTACATATTTTGCAGATGGAGAACCTGCTCCTGCTTGGAAACTCATTTGAGTTTTCCTAAGACCAGTGGAGCCTAACTTTGATCCATTTTTATAGAATATTCCCTGAACTGCATCTTTCTGAAAAGCAACTTCTTTTTGACTGTCCCTTTAGCATTTTTTTTTTTTTTTTTTTTTTTTTCCTCCCCAAAATTCACTGTAAAGTTTGTTTTAAAAGTTTTTCAGGGATTCAACCTCTGTGAAATAAAAAGGCCTCATTTTCTTTTTGCTTTCATGATTAATTTATATAAATGGCATGAAGGCATAATTTTCAGGGAAAGCTTGAAGTTTTTTTTTTAATTTCCTTTAGTTGGGAATTTAAGACTTTCTTTTTTGTGGGTTTTTTGGATTCTCTGAAGTGCACTGTTTTCTACAGCAACACTGCATTCTGTTGAACAATTTGCTTTGACAAATGGTTATCGGCCAAGTGGCTGAAAAGTCTTTGTATATGGGACAAGTGAGCACCTACCTTCATGTAGACTAGACTAAAAAAACTCAATTCTAGTAGGATGCTCAGTAGATGCTTGTATCAGAACTCCAGGTAAAATTTTTACTGTCCATAAAAGCAAGGAAAAAAAAATTATTTAACATTTTGCTTTTATGGCTCCTCAGTGTAAGTCATGCCCCTTAAACTTCAGATAGGACTTTTTGTAATGTTGATTTCTTCTAGTCCATGGAAAAACACAGGAACAGGTGTTTCTCAGTATTTCTCTGCATTCTACTGTAGGTCTTTGTCAGTTAGGATAGTACTTATTCCTTTGGTTTTGTCTTAAAAATTATTTTTTTCTGAAAGTGTCACAGACCTTCCTGCTGTAATATATAAAATAGTGTAGTATGAGGTTGAAACAACCTGCAGAGGTCTGTTTTTTAATGCTAGGTGTTCTCAGAGACATAAATCTGTCTTAATGATTTAATGTGCAAACTGGAAAATTAAAGTGTTGGTGAGCAGGCTATTTAGTATATATATTGAGTAATTTTTGTGATCATTTTTGCACATAACATTACATTGGATGTTCAGGCAGAGTTAACAGGCAGTAGAGTCAATTATATAAATCTTTAATTATACACTTATTTTCACTAAAGACTGCAATTTTTCCAGTCATGCTAATGATTCTAGCACAACACTAGGTAATGAGTGTCTATTTATTGTCACTGGAGGATATATTAGCAAGAACGATGAACACCTCTCATTATAGGAGGTAAAATTGCCTTCCAGTCCTAAAGTCATCTGCCAAACCTCAAGAAACTGACTAATAAAAACATCCATTGTACAGGTTTTCATTTGCCCTATAATCATTGGTTGCAGTTTTGTTGCTTTTCACATGCTGCTGTAACACTGGATTAGCTCTATTAAAATCAGAAGATTTACACCAATAATTTAAAAGCGTTTTTTTACTGATTAAATGTAAGGATAACTAAAACCTTGATCCTACAGACATGCACACATATTCTTAGAGTAATATAATCCGGCTTGCTTGCTTTTGTTAATTTTAGCTCAGGAATGCAATTTTTAACACTAGTTATTGCATATGTAGAAAAAGTGGAATATATTTTTCTTGGAAAATTATGGTTTATTAAAGCTGAATTTTGTGTTGGCAGGCTATCAAGGCTTTGCTGCGGAAGAGGTTGTCTGTATAAACAAAATTGAGATTTGAATGCCTCAAAAAGCTGCTTTTATATTTTTTTTTTTATTTCTACCTGTTTTCCTCTTACCATCTTTCATGACATTATTTTGCTTGTGAAATGCTTTGCATGTACCAGTCTGCATGTTGTTTTTTTTCTTTTATATCAATTACAAATGTTTGAGAATACTTGTTATTCTCTTCTGGTGTGCTTAATAACTTTGTCTTGAACAATTTTACTGTTTTAAACTCCATTATTGACAAAAGGAAATGTTGCAGTTTTATCTAAAAGTTTTTAACAGAATATTTCTTTCAGAAAGTTAGTATGGCTTTCAAAATAGATGTCATGCATAAATGGTCCCAGAATTTTGGATGCTGCATAGTGTTACTGTCACTTAAAGCTTTATTGCAAGGCAAACTCGACTACAGTGACATTCAAATTTTGATACTTCATTTTTTCAGTTGCCATTTGTACACTCTGGATGTATCATTTCCTTTTTTAGGATGTTTACAGATCACCTTTGGGCTTGATCTTGCAAATGCTGATGCATGTATAACAAAACATAATTAAACCCTCTTTTGGCCAGTACACCTCCAGACACTAATTAGCTCTATGTCTGAAAGTTGCTTGTAGGAATTAGCTCTAAACTTGTAGGCTACCTAGCTTTCATTAAGGAAGCAAGAATTTACATAATTTAAACATCCTTTGAGCAAGGGAGATGGGTAAATGACAGATTAATATGTTTTTCTTCTCTGGCATTTCTTATACAGATTTCTATGGAAAGCCTCTGCCGCCGCTGACTATACGCCAAAGACCCAACAGTGATACCCATGATGTCATTGCTTAACTGGATCACAAACAGCATTTAAAAGAACATAATAAAAAAACTGTATCAGAAATGGTTTTTGCCCTTGAAGGAAAATTTTTTAAAAGACACTCTATCAGCTTGTTGCAAAATTAAACATGGAGTTTGTTCTATCATACTTAGAATTTGTCATTTACTTTTCACATCACCAGCTCTTCTTCAGGATTTAACATGAAATCAAGAAAGGTCTGTGGGTCCGTGGATGCTAATATGAACATGGTATTGAATATTTATTGGGTTTAGTTATGAAAATACATAGCTGTAAACCTGAAGAAAAATACCTTCAAGACCACATAATACTGGATTTTACGTTCTCACCAAGACCTTTCTCCAGGTGCTGTGCAGTGGTTGGTATTTTTGCAGTTAATATATGATTCTAAAGCATTTTGTAAGATTAATGTATGATAGGGTGAATATATGAATGTTATGCAACAAATATTGAGTATATTTTTCTAACTTTTTATAAAATTATTTGAAAGTTTGAGTGGACACTCATACCTGTTACCAATAAAATGATACCTACAAAGCATTAGAAAGCTGATAGTCAAATGCATACAAATACAGAATGTTTGACTCTTACATTTCTCTTACAGTAGCCATACCTCTTATTAGGGATTACATTACCAGATGCATATTTCATATTTCTGGCAATCTGAAGGGGGGGGAAGGTAGCAAGGAAAGTTTAAGATAAATACATTTTATACAAGATTAATGCTATTGTAATTGTCTGAAAGTTTTCTTATGTGTTGTTTTCTTTGTTTTGTTAACTGAGTTCAACATAGGTAATAAATTCAGCTGAAAAAATAAGGCTGAATATTGTATTGTCTGCTACAATGTGCACTAAAATTGCACATAGTGAGTGAAAGTTTTGCACTAATTCAGTCATCAATTTTGATGGAAAACTGAATCAACCAATATTGCGGTTAAGCTCCAGCAGTTTTTAATCTCAATAATACTAAAATACCATCTTTAAAACTAAAGAAACCCCAGGTTTTTAAGGACTTACATAATACTTCCATGCAATGTGTTAATTTTACATTTTAAAAAATCTCATACAAGTGATACACAAACAACAAGGGTTACAATTGGATATATTCCCATGTAAATGTTTTTCCTCTTACACTGGAGACAACCATTGGTATATTGTGTAAAAAGGTATGTCATTATGCCACTTAGTAACAGCAAGGATAAAACCCCCATTCAAAGGTATTTTTTAAGAAGCAGTAATTGATGATTTTCTGTTATGGTTTCAGTCTTTCATAACATGGTATTACCAAATTATTTTAGTAGATGTTAAAACAATTCAATGTCTATATTCAGCACTTTGACACTGGAAATCTTTGCCATATATCCCTTACAGCAATAAGTTGCACAAATAAACTTCTACCATATTAACCAAAATAAAATTATTAATTAATATTTTTTGAAGAGTATGTTTAAGTGGGGGAAAAAATAATAAGTCTTAAGAATATTACATTTGGAATGGGTGGAGAGGAATATTCCAAGTTTGCTAGTTTAGTGTAAGGATGAAACAATTTGTATGTGACTACCCACATGAAAGTTGTATTCTAATAGTGTAACATGGTTCGGTTTGATTATTCTCAGGATTTAAGTCGTTTTCACTTCAAACAAACACAATATTAAGTAGAGGGGGAGTTGCATAAAAGTTTGTGTGCAATCTCAATCTTTCTATCTTCGGCTATGTTACCACTTAATTTTTTTTTTTGGCTTAAAGGCTCTACTTTCACAGGTGTTTGGTTTGGGTTTTGGGTTTTATTACAACTTCAGTTTCTAGAAATATATTACCCTTAACCCTTATCTAAAATAAATTAATGGAAATCTTTGTTAAAAATAAAGCTGAATACTGCTGTGGTAACAAAATTTGAGAAACTGAAATGTATGTTGATACTTACATGTGAAGTGTGTGCTATGCGTGTTCTGTGTGTGGACACATGTATCAGTTTTGTTTCTGCTTTTAAAATAAATTTTACCAATATGTGACCAAAGTACTCAGTACTCATTTCATACTGGTTTGTTTATTAATACACTCTGTAATTATTCTACAGTATTTTTTTTTTTCAGTAATTTACGCTACCTTGACTTTTTATGTGGTCAAGGTGACATTCATGTATAGAGTAACAGTATCAACGTTTCAAGCATTATCAAAAATTTACAATTTTTCAGAAGCAAGTGTAGTCATAAGTGTTTAATGGCTGTAAGTCTCATTTACCTTGCTAAAATAGAGACCTCATAGATGGAATCTTTGCATATTTTTACAGCTGCAATGTAGTCAAATTTAGAATATTGATAGATTGGCACTAAGTTATGTATATATGTATACATGTAAAGTGCTTTGATAGTGCAGTTAATATTTGAGAGGTAATAAGTTGCACAGTTGTAAGTTGAGAGGTAATTATTGCACAAATGAGAAGGTTTTGTCAGGTTCTGATGCTCTTTGCTGTCAATAACATCACTTTCAAAATGTGTCTGCATTCAGCTTAGAGTATTTGAAATTAAATACCTGAGTGGTAAGAACACAGAAATGTGCTGCATAAGCAGAACATTTTGAATTATCTGTGCACAACATTTTAAATATATTTTAGACAAAATATTTTAAAGGTAAGTCAACTGTATCTTCTAAGATAAGGAATAGTAACTTTCATGAGCTGAATTAATGTAAAAGCTAATAAGTGCTTCAAAATAGGTCATTCTCATTGTTGTCTTCCTTTTTAGCCAAAACCTGAAATCCACAGAAGGACCATAGAGGTTTAAAGTTTTTGAATAGAAAATAACAACTATAATTCTATTATTAAAAGTACATATATTTGATATCCATTAGGTTTAGTTTCACATCTGTGACATGACCTTTCCATGTAAGTAATGCCCAGTGAGGGGAACTCATATTGAAGTGAGACGAAAGCACTGTGATTTTAGAGGAAGCTATTTGATAGCCTTCTGAGTTTTCTATTTCAATTCCACAGTCCTGATGGAGAATTAGAAAGCTTTAAAAGAAGCACTCCAATAGACAGCTGATGCCTGCTTTCTAATGGCCCTCTTGTGAGCCCTGGTTGCAAGGATCGAGATGGAAGCAGCCAGGCACCTGCAGAGAGGCCGGCGAGGCAAGTGTAACTGGCAGTCCTCGAGCACATCTATCACACCACTGGCTGCCCCTGTGCAACAGGCTTCTCTCACTTTCTGGGCTGTGAATGCTGTGGGAGCTTTATAAAGAAAGGCTGTGGTGATTATCCTTTCCTTGAAACTCACAGAACCGTAACTCTATCCTCTGGAGGCCTACCTAAAAATGGATTTCTCAGTTTTGCAATTTGAGATTACTTTAAAAATAAAGTTGCCAGGAGTGGTCTCCCAACAATTTTTTTCTCCAGCAGAAACCAGTGTATTTCCTGAGAACTGTTGTTTTTGATATAATGATGTCACATTAGAAAAGATTGATGGGACAGTAACAAAGCAAATAAATAACATTCAAACAGTATTTTCCACTAAGATGCTCTAGTATTTTAGTTGAGAGCTTAGTACTGTAACTTCAGGGTGCTAGCCACTAACTTTCCCATGCTGTCTGTTATCTTCCTAGCTTCTGGAATTAATTCAACAAAGTTTTTTACTATTTGAACAGAACGTACCCCATAGTATTTCAATAGATGCATCTGTAAATGGAGTGAGGAACTATATTTTAAAAGTAAGTGTAATTTAAGACAAGTTTATCTTAGGACAGAAGAATCTTTTTCTTGTTTGTTTCGTTTTGTGAGAGTTTCTGGTTTGATTGTTTTGGTTGGGTTGTTTTTTTGTGGTTTGTTTTTTTTGTTTGGTTTTTTTTTTCTATCTTCTCCCCCTACTGCTCACATAAACTGTATTTTCTTACTTAGGAATTCTCTGGCAACTGCTCTATGGTAACAAAATTGTGCTTTTTGAGAAGGAAGTGGACCATGTAATGCTTAGCAATCTATGTATACTCCCCAGTGAATAAGAGTTTAAGATCACTGCAAATTCTCTTCCTGCTGGGCTAGTGGAAAGATTGAGAGAGGGGAAAGTTGAGTGAGGATGAGTAACAAGAAATTAATTCCTTGCATCAAGCGAGGTATGTGGGTTAAACTTGTGAAGACCAGCAAAGCCAGGTGACACTGAATAAGGTAGCCAAGCCACTGAAAAAATGATTCACAGATAAGCAGCTAGATATTAGACTGAACGACTGAAGAATAGGAGACTTGGGCTTTTGAAGTGTATACATACACATCAACATTTTCTTCAGAAGGGAGTAGATTTTGCAGACCTCAAACTGATGCTTAGCTTGTCTTCCCACCATGTTTGCATTTTCTGCTGCAAAAAGCAGTGTTCTAAAATTTATCATGCAGAAAAATAGTCTCTAAAAAGTTTCCCAAAGAGTTCTACATCCCAATAGCATTAATTTACATGATCTTCTAGTTTACATATTTTTTATCCTAAAAGTCATGCCATCCATGACTTTGATCTCCATAAAACCAAGCAAGCTTTTCCTAGGTCTGTCCTAATGTAACAAACAAGGAGAATATTGTTTGCTTGTGTATTTCTAAATTACTATGTAATAATGGTGAAGACTCAATTTGTACCTGCTCCAGGAAACTGTGGACACCTGAAACTGAACAGTGAAAGTCACAGTAATGGCTTTTTCTGTTCACTAGGTTTGGAGGAGGTCCACGTGCTGGTGGTGATATTTCTAAATATTTATTTGCTAATTTTAAGACACTTCTGCCATCCTCCACTCTCTGAAAGTATCAGGGGACAATCAGGGGATAGTGTCCTCTTCTTTTGCTTTCCTGAATGCAAGGACATGCTTAGAAAACACAGGTTTGAAATAAGGTAACAAGTTTAAAGGAAATGTGTTAAGAGAATTGTGGACCACAGTTACTGTGGAGTTGTGGAGATACAATGGATTTTGCAGAAATGAGATGCAGAAATGAAATACAGGTTGTGGTTTGTGGTTTAACAGGGCACCTAGGCATGCACATGGTCGTTTACCCTGGCAGGCGTAGGTGCTTAGGTGACAGAAATAGTTTGGGATTACTTTTTATTAAGAACAGTAGCCTGCCTTTCAAAAGGTACTGAAGTTAATCCCCCCAGAGTCAATCCATCTCTTCAGCAGCACACAGGAGAGAGCTCCAGCTGCATTTTTACTGTTTTGTTGCAGTTCATCTCTTTGTGATGCTGGTGTTGCTAGTGAACAAACTGTTTAACTGAAGTCCTTGCTTTGCTTCTGATGTGTTGGAAATCTTACTGGTTTCAGACACATTAAGCAGCACTGATGGCACTATCTACAAGTGGAATATAGCCCTAGATTTAGGAGAAGGTGACTCACTCAGCATACTTTTTTGTTTTATTGGTCCAGTAAAATTCAATTATGTGTTTTCTTGAATGTTGCTGGTCTTGGCAGAATTACAGCCACAGAGAACTGTACTTTTTATACCAATTTTGCTCTGTATCTGTTGGTACAACTCATTTATCAAAAAGCCTTTCTGGTTTCCTTTTACATTTGATATGTAGAAAGTCTCCATTTTATCTACTAGCTCTTCATCACGATCTTGATTTAAACATTTTAAATAAGCTTTCACATTTGATGGTAATGTGCATGAGGTTTGCATAAGTGTTCCTAGTCTTCATTAGTAGCTGAAACTCAAATATTTATCTGTATAATAGCATTCCTGTCTTTACATTTGTGCCCCTTTCCAGTCTGGATTTTGGAGGCTGGTTTTGGCATGCAGAAGCAGTGTGGGCAGTCATTAATTGAAACTACTGTTAAACAAACTTGCTGTTTCCACAGGGGTTGCTCTTATTGAAGCAGTCAGCAAATGCTGATGCACAAGGAGTCTTTTGAGAGAGGGAGTGTGTGTGGTGTCTTTGTTTTGCTAGGCCATGACAACTGCAGCAAGAGATGGCCAGCAGAGCAAGATGCCCTTTCTCACAGGAGGAGTTTGCAGGTCTCCATGGTTCTGTTCAGGCACAGCCATCAGGAAAGGAACTGCCCACGCACATCAGCCCCCTCAGGTTTTAGCACCACTAAACCAGTTACAGTTGACAAACTGGGGTCAGGTGATTCTCCTGAGAATGAGTTATCTGAAAACAAGTGAAAGACATTTGTGTGAAGAATTCTCAAGTTTCTATCCATTTTTGTTTGGGGTAGCGGCAGGTTCAGCTCGAGCTGATCTCCAGTGTGGTTTAGAAGAGGCTGCTGAGCAGCTGAATAGCAGTTGCAGAGTCTGCATAAGCCTGGGCCAGCCAGGAGTTGAGGGCAGAGGTCTGGTGGTGTGGTGGGCATGGCACAGCACCTCAAGCAGGCTCTGGGATGAGGATCAGTTTTATAAATTGATAAATCGAGGGTCTGGATGATGCCTAATCCTGGTTTAGCTCCTGGAGAGGCAGAGGAGACTAGAGGACAGTACAGTTTCTCATGGTAAAAAAGAAAAAAAAGAAAACCACACAGAAACCAAAATCCAAGAAACAAACAACAACAAACCTCCAACCAACCCGTGCCCCTCCTGGAAACAACGGCACACAAGTGTTACCCTGAACAAGAGGCCTTGTTCAGAGTTGGTTAAATTTTATGTGCTTGCTATCCATGAGAAACAATGTATTGTTTACTGGGAAACTGTAGGCCGCACAATTTTTCTCATCACACAATGCAGGTGGCACAACTGTTTCTCATCGCACCCAAGGATGTATAATATGTATTAATGTCTGTATAAATGTTTCTCATCAAATGTAAGGGCAGACTGGACACATCAGCTAGGTCAGTCTGTTCTTCAAACCATTAACAATAATTAGGAAGAAACTTGTAATCAGGACCGCTGTCCTTGGAGAAACATCCTGGAACGCTGAAGCTTGTTAGAATTGTTCAATGTAAATCAGTTTAATTAGAGATTAGAATGTCCTTTGGAAGAACTATCCTCATTAGAATAGTAAAAATCACACCCACTGCTTCGAAGACCCCTGCCTGAATAAAGGCCCTTACCCTTTGAGCCTGCACAGAAAATTAGAAACCCACTGTAACCTTAAATCTGAGCGAGCGTGTTCCTAACCAACGAGGGACAGAGGCGATAAGTAATTAAGCAGAAATCATTATAGTAAGTATGTAATCGTGTCGCTTGGAGCATATAAATACTTTTTAAAGTTCTTTTACATGGTGTGCTTGATTTGCGGGTGCTTTCCACCTGGCCCCCCATCCCCTCTCCGTCCCCACCTCGGTATTTCTGGTACCCGGGGGGGGCGGCGCCG